ATTGACGGAGATCAGGTTCCTCGGACTTGCCTGTAGTAGTGAACTCCTCAGCCATCCCAGCCTGATCGATACCATTACGAGGCGCTGGCGCAAAGTCTGCTATTAATCCATCAGGAACACGTCATTCATAGTAGGATTAGTACGTTAATATGTACCTTCAACGACACAAATAATGTCTATTTGGATAGATGAATGATGATAGAATATTTTGGTCGATGGATACTACGCCGGGATGCAACCGGGATGGGTAATGATAATTGAATGATAAAGCACTCCATATAGTACATAAATAATAACAATAGTAGAATGCAATAATCCTTTGTAGGCACTTGCCGCAGTGGTAGTGCCTGCTATATGTACGCTCACTGTCTTCTAAATTTTTTTTCGCCGTAGTCCTGGGAGGTCGTGCATTCGAATCCATGCCAGAGCACAAAAGGAAAATACACTTATCTGATGTGCTTCAATAACTCTGGAATATACATTTTACGATGATCTCACAGAGATGCCAGGTCTCCGAGTTATCTCATGTATGAAATCTCTTCCTTGGTTTAGCATGGAAGTTCATAAGAAAGAATGGCTTTAATCCACGAAGGTACTATTTTGACTCGCCTTTGAAGACCCATTGGCCTTTCAGTGCTAGGAGAAGACGATAGCAACACTATCCTCATCTACAGTATATTCCCTTATTCACGCGTGAAATGACAGGATAAATGAACATTGTCGCGTGGAATCCAACCCCAAATTGTCATCAGAGAAGTCAAATACCCTCTGTGGATGATCTTCCGTTGACCTATGACAGCCTTAATGTAGACTCGACAGAAATAGTACAATCCCAACTAATGAGACTGGTCGGAAATGCCCCACAAAAAAAACAGCACAACAAAGAATCGCCAAAATGAAGAAAACATGGGAAAAGTAGTACATAGGTCCCAATATTACTACTGAATAATCGGATGTGTGATCTTAGCTCTAGACCGCTTCACAATAAAGATGCATACATGCGACGTTGAGTTTTGTGAACTAGGGACCTGATAATACGGTAAGGAAAGGACAGGAATCGATGCGGAGCGAACAAAAGAAAACATCGGCACCATTCAACAGCATAGCTTTCCGCAGGAGGAAGGAGGCTACCCTTCACGAGTTGCCAAGTCACAGAACATGCAGGTCCTATCCTCTTCATTCGAATCGACTACGACTTCGGTGACGAGTCGATCAGATAGCTTAAAAGGTCTTACCTATCAATACTGTCTCTTCCTGAGGATACGAGCAGCGACCACTTACAAATGAACATTGCTTGTTGTGTAGCAAGACTAGGAATTGAAACCAGGTCTCCATCTTTCCGACGGCCCGCATGCCTTGGCAGAGGAAAAGATGCATTGCGTATTCAGCCTTGCCTTTAGCGAGGATGGTTGCCACGATTTATACTTGCTCTGGGTGTCGTATGATTAATGGATGTCTGAAAGAAGGGGACGCGTTAAGTTCAGTCAGTCGCCTGCAAGAAAAGCTGTGCTCCCGGGGCAAGGTTGTAGGTGAAACACCAGTCATATCTGCTTGTCCTCGTTCGCTAACTCTTCCGGAGATCCAAATAAGCAACGAAGTCGTATATGATCTGGTCGAAAATAGCAGATATCGAACTAGGTTCTTCCGTAATCTAAATTTCAGAATAAGCGAAGAGGAATACAGTCACGTAACAGAAGGTGCCGACGATGAAAAGAAATAAACGACAGCAGCACACACTGTTGTGCGGTATTGAACCGCAGTATATTTTGGCGAAGATTTTTGATTTACGGCAGCCTTTATATAGATTCGTTAGCGAGGTATAACACAGAGCAATTAATCTGGCCTAAAATTGGATGATAGCGTTCGTACAAATAAAATTTCCCTATGAAAACTGGCGACGGAGAATCGTTACACTGGATACTCGGTCCTGAAAGATTTTGAGGTCTTAGCTCTAGTCATGCAAAACGATAAAGCTACATATGTGTCTGCGCCTTCGCATCTCATAAGTCCCGGGAAGATTTTTAAAAAAAGGGCCTACACAGGTAACAGAGTGAATCCAAGTCCGAACGAGAATCAATTAACGACCCACCAATAACCATACAATGAAGGAAAGTAAACGCTTACCACTTGAGAGCCGCGGAAGCAATATAACGCTCAGGTCTGATCATACATTGTTTGAATCACAGAGAGCTTCGAGAAACAGTCAATCTGTTAGTGTTTCAGCGGGGAAAAGCTCTGATCAGGCTGGCAAGCCGGGAAGATAGATAGATGTTACCGATTGATACTAACTTTCCTTGGTTATAAGTCATAGGATGATCGATAGTCCTGCTTCTATGAGAAGAAAAGATAATTCGTCTCATCGAAAACACTTGACATGGGAAGAAAGACCTACATGATAGCTACACCGTGCCGAGATGGAATATAGAGATGCCGTCTCATCCCACCACTTGTCAATCTCGTATTATCTCAAAACCGAGTTCATCTTCCCCTCTTCTTTTCCTTGAGACAGACCGTACCACTACAGCATCAGTATGCACGCTCTTGGGTGTTGTAGAAGTATTATCCACGGTACACGCGCCTCCGAAGGCTCCGCGTGGACAAAATATTCGGTGAGCTTGGCTTAAGCAATGATCTGACACGTTGCTCAAAACCAGATCCAGATCTCATGCTTCCGCGCGGGTTTGAACTATTAACTACTCAGACCGTGTATTATACCATTGATACAAGGTGGCCTTACTCCTCCATGCACATCACGAAAGAAATCGACAACAAGATTGACTCAGATTTAGCGAGTGAAACGAACACTGTTAACTAAACGCCTTTCTACTCGTGGGATATAGGGATGCGATATGAACCGTCCTACATCGATGTAAACCTGGAATGAGAAAGATGATTTTCGATATCATTCTCATAGCGTAGAGCGCCCGACATATCATCAATGAAAAACGCATGATGGCATCATTAACTCAGCGGTACGGAGTCGAACCATGTTGTGTACAAGACACCGCCCGTTCATGCCACTGAGCGAACGTGCTATGGCTCTGTAACTTCCTCCAGAAACGTATGTTGTGTCCCAGCAATAACTGAATGCGACGATGCGTGAAGCAAGCCCGAGGTTCCCGGAAGCAGTATAGGCAGCAGAGTGTGGATACCCTATAGAGAAGCCTTAGATAGAATAGAAGATGGAATAGTTCCGACCTGTCCACCTTCGTAAAGAAGCTCGCTACAAACTGAAGACGAGACTCAGTGCTAATCATGATTTTAGGACCGCATCCAATAACGTACCTTTGTCAGCAAAAACGGATGTATTCCATATGCTGAACATCCAGAGTTCCTCGCGATTCATACTCTATAATCGTTATAGAAAAAGCGAAGAAATAGATGGACAGTGTGTGCGTACCCATTCCATTTCGACTGTAATCGCGAAGTGCAGAAATCCGAGGTAATGAGGAACTCTTCGTTTGAACTAGCTGTAGCGGTTCTAATGCCTTGAAATTTGAAATGAATCGAAAATCGTCGCGAGAACTCCAAAATATGTGAAACAGTTGGTGCGGACGTTAGTATTGTGAGATCCATATGCCCCGAATCTAGTTACACTATACAGAAAATAGTTAGATAGAAAAAATTGGCGACATGGAGCCCTTGACGCAGGATATCCATCAAGTAGTGGAATAAACAAACGCAGACGACGTGAGGTGGCATTACAGATCCTTCAGTGTTATGCCTCTCAATTCTCGGCTCATGATTACGCAGAAGACTTGAAAACAGTGTGATCATTAACTAGAAATACAGAATACAATCTAATTTATAGTAAGTCAGATAGGGCATCATGAACATGAAGCATACGAACGTACCGTGCGTACACTAAGGAACGCTGGAAGGTAGGTGGGTAGGATTACGTGACATGGTCCATCAGCGACGCCGAGCAGTATTGTTCACGATGAATCTGTTGTCATGCCTTCTTCTGTATCGAAGGTATGAGATGTAGGATTGTATGAACAGAACGGGGGAACTGACCCGGAAAAGAGATGCTCCTCGAAAAGGGAAACGGGACGTAACACACTGGGCGTCAAGCCAAGGCAAGTGAGGCAGACGTTCATGGGTATTCGAGTAAGAGTATTGAAAGACGATGCATGCCAAAAAGCATCGTCAAGAACCAGCGATGTTCTCTAGCGCGGCCCATTCCGTCCATCGAGTAGGGGTAAGAAGCATCTGCAGAGGCAAAAGCATGAGGAAGATTCAAAAGGTTCTAGAACGACAAGGGCTCACCAGCACCATCCTCAACACTTCCTAGAAATTCCATCTCATCCTGGCGCCATGGAATTATACGTCGCCGACGAAAATAATGACTTTGATCGGATGGGGTCGTAGGCGACGGGGACGACGTACTTGCAGCTACAGTACAAGAGTCACATCAGTAAATGGTTGGCGAGGCTTAGGTTTCTCGGACTTGCCTGTCTGTAGTGGATTCCTCCGCCATCCCAGCTGGCATCGATGTCATTACTAGGCGCTAGGAGCCTGATGCGTCGCATCTGAGTCCATGGTGGATGTTCGTCCGAAGATATATACAGAAACGAGAGAAACACGTTAAGTATGCGAGATGGGCCCGTGAAGTGAGAGCATAGTGAAGGTAAGTGGGAGAGGAAGGAAGCCCAGGTCGGACTATCAAATACGGTGGCTGTACCCCGGACACCACGTGCACGGGCCCGCGACGCGACTTCGTGGGAACTGCGGATCAAAATGATTGCATCTTTCTTCCTCGAGGTAGCATGAAACCGAAGCCGTCGGCATATTCTGTTTGTTCGCCGAGTTCTGGTTCCTTGACTCTCCTCTTCGTCCTTACCACAACCTAGGTATGTCCTTTGTTTGTCGCTGTAATCCTTCAAGGTGGTCATTCTGTGCACATAGAATAAATTTTACATTCTATTCATCCTTGCTTCTTGCTGGTCTGAAGTCGAGAAACTGAGAAATTCCCGACAAACTACTTGCTATCCATCGACGCATATCTGGACTGCTACTTTCTCCGTGGATAGCGCCAGGATTGGATAACTACTCCAATAGGGTGATTTCATTGGCCGGAAACCGAATGAGCGACTACACAGTGAAAATGACGACGCATATATGCAGCAGACAGGATTACATGAACGCACCAATACTGAGTCGTACCTTTGGAAAGATGCTCAATCGCGTTCCAAATCCTTGGTGACCGAGGTTATCACTGAGGACTGGGGAGAAAAAAAAGATAGCGTACTACTGTGCTTCGCCTCCTTCACAAAAAGATGTCTCTTCCTATTGATGTGCAGAAGGGTTAGGGCTTCGCACCGTACCGTCGACGGTATACGGCCGTATAGCCACGGTACAGTGACGGGCGACGGCTGGTCCGTATACCGTACCGTCAAGATTCTTAGAACTAGGTTGACGGTACAGTACGGGTATATAGACGGCCGTGACGGTCGTCAATACGGCCGTAAGGTAGTAGGGAAATGTATTACTCGTACAGAAAGTACACCTACAGTTTGACAGCACTATCTAAGAGTTCATTGACAGCTGTATGAGCTAGATGTAGGCGGTGCTTGACCAACATCAATACTACAGGCTTGATGGAGACCCCGTATTCATCCAGCTTCTCAGCCTCAAGAGCGTCTTTCATCCGGCCTGCCTTTCCGGTACGTTGTCCACGGCCAAGAGGTTCTGTTCAAGATCAATGACTAGTCAAAGCATGAGAGACATTGAATGATACGTACCTGATGCTTGGGGCTTGGAGGCAGCTTCAGGTCCTGCCATTGGCACATCGTCGTCCACATCGTGATAAAAGTTGATTTTCGAAGGGGATTTCAAGTTTCCATCAGCGTCGAGGGCGCACTGACCTGCCATGATGCTCAGAATGGGGTGGTAAATCTGCGAAAAAAAAGTACTATTTTATAAACTCCTCTGGGTTAAAATTGAGCCATATTTGACAGGTGCACCGGCCACCCGTGCGCAATGTATTTTGAAATATGAGCGGAGAGTAAAGGGATGAAACAGGAGTAGGGCAGAGGCAGCAGAAGTAGGGAAGAACAAGTATTTGTGCCTGCCATAAGAATGAGAGCTTTATGTGAGTGAGCGAAACAAGAGCTGGCTGTAGCGTTGAAGAGATCGCAGTGCCAGTGCATCGTGGTAGGATGTTGAGCACATGGTAAACACATATACACCGTGATCTGATGAGGGTTATTTTTAAACAACCTACACGGCCGTCGAGTGCCGTATAACGGCCGTCTTTATACGGTTGTTAACGGGCGACGGGATATCCGTATACCGTCCGTGTCTGGGCAAAGTATTTTGCCAGACGGAACGGGTACGGTACCCGTATGACGGCACCCGTATAACCGTACTATACGGTAACGGTGCGAAGCCCTAAGAAGGGTGAGAATAGCATCGCAGTGTCCATGAGAATCGATCTCGACATCACCAGATTCTGACGAGTAAAGTACCCGCAAACGACGATATGCCACTTGCTTCTACCCCATCGCCATCACCCCAATATAGCTCTCACTTGCAAGCTCTACTGGACTGTCCTCTGTGTCCCTCTACCTATTTCATCAATTTGCTAGGCATCCGATTAGACTTGAAACCATCTTGTAAGTTTAGTTGTATATCTATTCAGAATTTCCTTCATGCGTTTACCCCAGTAGAATGGAAGAGTAGTCAGCCAATCCATGATGCATATCATTTGAATAGCCAATATGCGTGCTTTTCTCCTTCGCGGTCTTGGGCGGCATGGACTCCGATATCAAAACGAGCGCCCATGAATCATATTTCCGCAGTAACTTCGTGGAAATGACAAAGACCGTAGCCAGTGGATGATTCATGCCAGCTGCTTAGTAAACCTCTGCCGAAATATTGTATGTATACATCTCAAACTGAATGCATTACAGTTACAGATTCGCATGATTACTCTTTACAACCCTTCATCCGATTTAGATGATTCATGCTAGCACTTAGTAAGCCTCCCCAGAACTTTTATGTATATAACCCAAGCTGAACAGCATGCTTTACAGTTTCGATAAAGTTCTAGCATGATCACTCTTTACGACCTTCCGACCAAGGCAGCCGATTCCCCAGGAAGTATGAATACCTGGCGGACCAGGTACACATATTTCTCGCTGTGACAGGCATGTTCTGAAACTAACTGATTGATGTTAGGTATGCCCTGAACCTCAAAAATCTGCCCTACCAGACTGTCTATGTCGAACTACCCGACATCGAGGCTCTCGCCAAAAGGATCGGTGCCGCCCCCACCAGCACAAAGTCCGATGGCGTTTCCCCTTTCTACACCCTCCCGATCATCCAAGATGACTCCACTGGGGCTGTCGTCTCCGACTCTGCCGCCATAGCAGCCTACCTGGACAAGACATACCCAACTTCCGGGCCTGTACTCATTCCTCCCGGGACCATGACCCTCCAACTCGCCTTCTCCGATACAGTGACCGGCATTTTCAGTCCTTTCCAACCATTCTTCATCTCGGGAATAATGGCAAACACGAACGATGCGACGGCAGTGTATTTCTCCAAAACGAGACTGGGCGGGACTCTCAAGGTGGAGGCGCCGAAAGGGGAAGAGATAGAGAAGCTACGGGCTAGTGCTAAGGAGAATTTTGGGAAAATGAGCAAGTGGTTCGAGGATAACGGGGGTGACTTTGTTATGGGGAAGGAACCGTGCTTCGCAGACACGGTGATTTGTGGGTATTTGTGGTTCACGAGGAGAATGGTTAGGGAGGAGAGTGAGGAATGGAAAGATATCGTTACTTGGAATGACGGCAGGTGGGGAAGGTACCTGGAAATTTTCAAGCCGTATGAAAAGATTTTGTAGGCGAGAACGTGAAATCACTACTCAGTTCCACTTGAATATTTCTTCATAGAGAACTGTGCCCTCTTTCCTGTAAGGAGATTCCGCTTGTTGTAAAAAAAAATGGCTTGTTTTGCGTGCTACAGTGGTGTGCTCCCTGAGGGGATTTTGTGCTCGCATGCTTTTGGCTTTGTACCACTCTCTTACCTGCAGTATTCCAGACTCAAGTCTAGCGACAGGCATGGAAACAAAGGATCGTAACAACTATGCAGGTCGCACACTGATACTTAATGGCATCCTCAACAAGTTAGGTATCTCCATCCAACTGCGAACTCAGATGAAACGTGTTTAGCCATTTGGGTCAGGCGTGGTATTTTACTGATCCAAACGTTTTGAAATGTTGTCCACTATGTGTAACGGTTCCATCACGCTAAGAATCGGAATTGTTGTCTTGTCTGCATTAGATAATTATCCACTGGTGGCTAATTGGTATCCTTGGTTGTGTTTAATTGCGCCTTGTAGCCAATGACCTCAGTTTGAATCTGACAGGGTGTGTCACAAGTTGGGATATAGATACTTTTTACCAGAAGATTCAGAAATCTGGCAGAAGACTTGACTCTTGAGATCTGAACGTTCGTTTTCACACTGTCGAGACAAAGCCTCTTGGCCCTCAGGCTATCAGTACAAGGGATCCGTACCACATGATCCCCATGTGGTAGGCTGTGGTTTGCCAAGGTGAAGACGGAACTGAAAATTGAATGTGCTGTCCTAGTTTTCGATCCTTGGTCCTGTTCTGAGGATGACGTGACCATAGCTTGTTAAGCATTCTCGGGTCTAGGTGTATCCCAATATACGATGCTACGACATCGGAAGAGAGTGCTTGGGTATCCCTTGTGAATGCCTTACAGTATTCGGATCGGGCGCAGTTCTTCTTCCTCTGCGCCGAGCCTGGGAGTGGTAATAAATGTTGGCGACCATCATGGGAGCAAGTAATGACAAGGCTTCCGAGGCTTCCAGACTATGATGATGTGGATAGGCTGTATTTTGGAAGAGTTGACCGGACGGAAGTTGAAGATGCCGACTGGTACACGGGTTACCATATCGACTTGTGCGATGTGTGGAGACTGGGAAACACATCAAAGGAAGGGAGGCCTCGATATGGAATGTTGATCGTCAAAGACGACGCTGGGACACCTTACATATTCGGGATCGTCGCCAAACACGATTATCCTATACCTGATGGTCCATATACACTCATAGGTAATGAACTTTGGCATGACGACAACGTCAACTTAGGCTATGACTGGGTCATCAGGCGGCAAAGACAGGATGGGAAGTTCGAGAAAATTTCGATGTTTGGTATTGATGATGTGCGGAAGCTCATAGACTTTGGAATTGCAAAACATCGTGTTAAAACGGTTCTGTGATGATATAATTAGGTTCAAAGGCTAGTAAAACTTCGTTGATACTGCCGTAGTTCTCTGGTACTCGTAGCCCTAGCTTTGTATTATCACATCTCTTCGCTTGGTTAGCCCTACGATACAGTTCCAATGCAAGTCCAATTTCCGTGCGACAAGGTGGAGAACAACACTGGGATGTTATCTATACTCAACGAAATGGAAATCGTACGGGAACATAGGATTACCTACGGCTTTGGCTAGTTGCTGGTCCCACGAGCTGTCGACTTACACTCGTAATTGTACTTTTGGCCCAAAATGGAACAACGACGTCTAGCTCCGGTCTGTTACCTGCATTGGTTGTGGTCATTAGGTCTAGACATGGAGAATATCATAAATACTCATCTTGACCTAGACGCGTTCCCATCGTCAATGGTCAGATCAAAAGCGTCTTTTTGAAGAAGAATCCTCATGTCATTCCTACCAGGATGAACAGCTTTCTCTCGGATAGCGCTGTTGGCTACCTAATTTTGCGCTGAGTTAGACGAGTCGTCGTATGTTCAGACGGGGGATGAACACGCTGTGTCTGTATACCCTTTCACTTTTTCCCGGCGTTTCGGTCCGACCTATCAAAGCGTAGCTTTACACAGCTCTTCGACATTGGCTTCCAGGTCCATCATCGCCATCCAAAGCTGTAGCTGAGGGATTCTCGCACAGGTAACCTTTCGCGATGTGGTCGTCCATCACTGAGGTGCAAATTTGTTACTAACTCTTGCGATGTTCAGTATTCGTGTATAAAAACAGAAGTTTGAGGACGCCGTGAGAAATGTATTGCTAAATTCAATAGATATCAGTGTTTTGAAGGCTGGATCAAATCGATTATTACTTACCCAGGTGGTACACTCCAAGACAGGGTATGTAATATGATAGTGTTCTCCTCTCGTCACGTCTCGTGCCTTCGCCTCTTGGCAATGCGCTCTACCGGATGGTCGACCCCTTAACTCATAATTAAATAGGTCCTCGTCAGAAATTTCCACAGCTGGGAGAGAAACAAGAGCTTACGCAGACTCCTCCCGAAACGACACAAACTCAATGGAAGGTTCTCCTGAACAATACGCAATGCTCTCAGTTGCTTTGACGGTTCATTGTCTCTCGGTTGAAAAGAGTGTACTTTGTGCCAGAGCGTTACAGTACACTGGGAGTGGGGAGAGGTTGATCGAAGATATTACCGTCCATAAAGGCAAATCCGGAACAATCCGTTCAAGCACGCCAACACTGCAGGAGGGCACCTGGGTGTGGTCTTTTTGTTGTCGAGTAGGTCCATAATGCGTTGACTGCAAGGAAGAGGGAGATATAGAGGTGTAATACACGGACAAGGGATACTCGTCTTCCTTCGCAGTTGTTCTAGGGGTCGAATATAAGCGTGGACAGCTTGTATGAGGAAAGAAGATGAAGGGTTTGATTGTAGGCAAGGCGGTATACGCTATTGATATTGTGGTGTTGCATGGGAGGTATTGTCATCGAAAATGAAGGATCTGATACATGGATATGTGAGTAGATCCGAGGTACAGATGGGGAGAACGTTGAGGTGGAGCCTCGTCTCGAGCGCCGTTTCGCATCGATGAGAGTAGCCATGCCATATGGTGCTTTAATATTGTGAGAGAATTGGTGGTAAATTGTGACGTCGCGATAGTAGGCTAAATAAAATATGAATTTGACCGTATTGGCGACTCAGAGTCATGAGGGCGAAATGTTATGAACTGTGAACAGATGGGAAGGTATATTGTGCAGACAATGAACAGCCTCCGAGAGCAGGGCACTGTACTTTCAAATATGTGTTTGTAGTCTGCCCTTCTTTATCCATGGAGAGAGCAAAGTTATGGTAATTCGCGATGATAATTATTGGGGGTTCGACACGGTGTGTACGTGGACTGTCGCGATGAGGTAAATAAAATATCAGTGGAGCGATAAATGAGTGTACTTGCTTCATAATCTCCCTTTCTGGTCCCTGTCCTTTGACTCAGACTCTGGAATCGTTCAAAGGCAATTCAGCACAGACATGCGCAGATACAGTACGAAGGAAAGACCTTGTACGAGTCAGAGTCCGATGTAGAATCGTGGTACTGATTCTTTGACTTTCCTGTTCAGTTGATAAACTGTATTGCATGAGATTCCGAGGAATATTACAGGAGAACAAACTTACCTAACAGTTTGCGGAAAGAAGGTTGATTTAGCAGCACACGACGAGTGGTACATATTACGATCTGTGATGCCTGGCAAAAAAACGAGACTGAAACAGTGGAGAGGGAAGAGAGGGCTTTCGCACATTAACTACCCTCCATGATCCTACGTCATCTTGTATCTACTAAGATTTTTGATTCTGAGTGAAGCAAGCAGCTTGTCAAGTTCATCAAATTAGTCATGAACAGAACATTGGACGTTCGGTGTTGGTGTTGGTATCGGCACAAGGTCCCAATAAGGAACGGCCGGGTCCACAGACCAAACATGGCAAGCCATGCGCTGTGGCCACTCGGAAGGCGCGCGTTTGAAGCGGGCCGAATTTGCCGGAGATCTTCAACTTAGCCAAGCTCTACCAAATAACGCGGTCTTTCCCTCTTACTCCCACTACCATCAAATTTCGTTTCTGTCGGTCATCTTTGTATGGCCCTTACGCTATTTTGGAGCTCACTGGAAGCGCTGTTATCGAGCGAGGCCAATTTTGTAGCAAGGACTGCTCATACGTTAGTTTCGGGCTCGTTTATGAACACGTTTCTAATCTTCAAAGCAGGAAATACGAAGTGCAGAATACCGGCGGCTTCAGCTCTCCATGTCACCTATGACAGAGGCTCAGGATGTCCTGGTTTTCTGGACAAAATAGCTGTTGGATCGAAGGTGATGCGCTAGGACAACATTTTTCGGAAAGCCAGATACACGATGGAAGGCGACGGTTTCTCACCATTAGAGGCTTGCGTGGCTAGGATCCGATGAAAGACTTGCTAGAAGGCCATTGGTGCGTCCTTTTCTTATCTTTGAGGTTTTTGGTCGTCCCTGATGAAGTGCATATATCCAAGTCGCAGCCTATCGTCGCACGGACCCAGCTTTTTGGAGAGTGTCCTGGAAGAGCGAGTGTGATTGGGCGCATGCTAATGCTGTTTCGGGTGCGCTTCTTTCCTTTCTCCTCTCGATACCACTAAATGCAAATGTAGGCGCCGATTAAACTATAGTCGTCATTTCTACTCCATCATACCTCCCTGCTGCATCCGAAATCGGCGAAAAGCGACATAACAGAGGATTTTCAGGGCGGACCCCTCCCCTTTCACCCCCAGTTCTCAAGATACAGCATATCCAAGGATGTATGCCGCCCAAGTTTGAATATAGGACAGCAGCCGAGGAGGACGGTAAGACTTTCACCGACAGCGGATACACGTGAAGCCTTAGTGGCTCATTACGAATGGCACTGGTGCGTATTCGTTACTTTCTTAACAGGTTACTAGTGTATTAATAATTATAGGTGCTTCCCAGAATCGACCAATGCCCGAACCCATCCTTCGCTTGCTCGTATGAGCCTCAGACGAAGTGTCCAAGTCCAACCGCAAACCTACAGGAGCTGCCATCGTCAAATATTCAGACCGGGAACATTTCGTCTATAGTTCTCTTTATCGCAATGCTAGCCAACAAGCGTCTCGCAGAATCATCGATAAACCATCGAGCTGATGTCGCTGATGTCCCCAAGGTCTGAGCACCTCGTTACCCAACCGGTTCACCACTGGTCAATTGGCAATACCTAGCAACCGGGAGTCGTACTGCTCTTCTCGAGCCCCCGATTTTCCAAAGTCTCGTATCTTGTTCCTCATTTAGCGCTTCCTATTCTTGGCCGACGAATCAAGGGGCTGTCCCTGTGTATCCTACTACCCTTGCCGAACGTATGTCATAAGCGCTTCTGTCTCAACTTATTTCCCCCCTAACCTGGTCTGTTCCTTAGTCTTCAACACACTTGTACGCTTTCTTTGCGACTACTGGAGGACCAACGATGTCAATACATACCATCTATGCGGACAGCAGCCGAGATGTTGCGGGTGTCCTGACGGGTGCTTGCAACGAAGGCACAATTCAGACATAGGACACGTCATCAAGAAAGATTTCTATGGCCAATAAGAACATTCGAACAGTGTGATATGACCCGAGAATGCTCGGATGTCAGATGATGGCCGCTGCTGTTTGTCGCCTCCCATATCGACGTATGAGGATCCAAGTCAATACGGCAACTTGCGCTCCGATGTCTATCGTAAGCATTTTACATCCTCCTAACGAACTATTTATTGAAGATGCTGCTGTAGTGCTTGTATGGAACGAACAGGTGCCCTGATGCGGCGAGATTGTACAGCATTACTATCAACAATCGTCACGATGACATTTTCCATATACATTTACTACCTAGGGTAAAAGATTTGAATGACTAAAAGTGACTGGCGATCACTGATAATATACCCAAGGTCGGTCAAATCAGCATATGATTTACGGGCGTAGCCCTGATGTTAGAGGAGGTCGGGCATCGTTAACGAAACCCGTTGCTCCCTACCGAAGTTGTAGAGCCTCGTGACGAGGCTGCTATACGTTGGTGTGTGATATGGTTACGTGTCCTCGGATTTGATAGAAGCTAAGATAGTATTGCAGGTTCCACACACATTAGGACCGGTCAAGTTACAAGCCCTTCGTCATCAAGGAGACATCCAAGCATTCGAACATTACAGCAGACCAGGGGCATGGTGCGCTTCACAGCGCCATCATCTCAACTGGGTCATGCAGGGCTGTGTCGCGCCGGGAACAAGCTGTGGAATGACACTCTATTAGGCATTGCAATACGCTATATCGGAACTGCCCTTGCGATATCCAGAAGGTGGCGGTGGTATAAAGGAAGACCGCGTTTCTCGACGAACAGCTCCATAATGCCCCTCCACATCTCATCTAAGATGCCTACCATAAAGACGGTTCGGTTCGCGGATTCGCCCAACGACATGTACTCGTATGATTCCGATCAGGCGCCTTCACCGATTGCGACTCGGTCGTCTCAGACACCGTTTGGAAAGTCGTCGACAAGCGAGGAACCGCCCAACATGTATTACTATTCTCGATCGCTGGATGATACCCCGTCTCCCGAGTATCATCAGTCTCTCTTGCCCGGATCTTCGCCGACCTTCTCTTCATTCGCAAGTCCCTTGTCTTCTTCCCCCGCCCTTCCTTCCCCGCTACCGTCGACATCTTCGTTTCATCCGCCTCCAACGCCCGATGGTCTTCAGAACCCCATCAGCCTCCCTCCAGTCGAGGAAGTCACGACACCAACCACAGTCGGACTGCATGAATACCTCTGCCCGCTGCACCTCAACATCGACCTGTCGAAGGACATCTCACCGTACATCCCTGAGATCCCTGACGAACCTGCTACCTCTCCTCCCCTTCCCGGAGACATGGTCCTCGTTTCCAAGTACCTCCCGTGGCGAATTCATATAGCCCCCAGTTCGGTCCAGGACGTGGTTGTGGCGCTGTACACTGCACTGCGCACGAGAGTTACCGAGGAAGAGCTAAAGACCACGGGAGGGACCGGCGTGACGAGGGCGTTTGCGAACCGAGTTGAAGGAATGGGGGAGGAAGAAAGACAGAAAGGCGTGAGGAGAGTTGATTTCTTGTTGGGTTATACTAGGTTCATCGGCGTCGAGGCTACAGATGAACCGGGAGTGTGGAAGATTTGTTTGGCGTCATTGTCGTAGCGCTCTTTTGGGTCTCTTCTGGAGTCATTTTAGAAGTTTTCACTAAGCATTCGTTGTTTTTGTATATATCTCATTGTATTACTATTGCGCTACTACTTATGATGTATTGTTCGCATCCTGCAAAGGCCAATGAAAAGTCGAGCAAGCTGATTGGCTGCCTACTTGATTCGAAAATAGGCGCCATAATCAGGGTCGACAGTCATCGTTATCCTCGAGACTCAAACCTTCGTGATTCCTCGCATATCTCTGTACGTCCTGCGATGGATTTGAAAGCCCCTTCGGGTACGCCGATGTAAGCACGGAGCTTTCGACTCAGTGAAGGAAATGAGGTCAGCTCCGAGTCACACGTGGGCCTCTTCGAGGTACCATTGAGTTGCGGAGTTCTGTTAAATATATCTTTCTGAATCAGATCCAGAACACAGAAGGAAGGAAGGACGTAGAGCTAGCTTCGGCGTGGAAACGAACGCAACTTATCTCTCACCGTCACTGTACCCGCAATCAGCGATAGTGATAACACGAGGGTGCTGAGACGGGCGAGGTTCAACACACTCTCCACGCTTCTTCCTCTACGACAACATGAAAACCCTCACCCTCATTCTTTTATTTTCTCGTATTCTCTTTTGCCGTGCTCTCTATGCTCCGTTACGCGAATACGCGGGGCAGAGCTTCTTTTCAGGGTGGAACTTCCCAGGCTATTATGATAACACCACTTTGGGTGCGTGCTCTCTTACCTCCTGCGTGCAGTAACCTAACATATCGAGTTCAGGGAGTGTTATATATGTTGACCAAACTACTGCGTTCAAGAACAAACTAGCATACGTTAACAACGCTGGTAATGCTATCTTAAGAGTGGATAACTTTACCAACGTCACTGATACTGGGGCCATTTATCGCGACTCGGTACGTCCATACGCAGTGGTGGAATGACGCTCAACTAATACTCTAGTGCAGGTCAAGTTGATTTCTCAGGATCTCTACCCATTGGGAAGCCTCGTTACAATAGATATGATTCACATGCCCTATGGATGTTCGGCGCGTTGATAAGAAACTTTCTCCACCCCCTCCACCCTAATATCCATGAACAGGTTTGGCCATCATTCTGGACTTTCGGCGGTACCGACTTGGAGTGGCCTATGTTCGGGGAGATCGACATCGTCGAAGGTATCAACCTTATAACCGACAACCAAATGTCCCTACACCACAATGATTCATCATGCGTGCAGCCTCCAAACCCTGGACAGAGCGGAAAGACAGTCAATACAGGGTGTAGTGACCAAGGAGGGGGTGTTGGATGCCGTGTCTCTGAGACTAAGCCGAACAGTTTTGGGGAGGGCTTCTCGAAAAACGGCGGAGGAGTCTTCGCGTTGAAATTCGACGTTTCAGGAGCTTTCATTTGGTTTTGGCCGGTATGTGTGTTTCTTGTACCTGCGAAATATCGTCTGATTCATATGAAGAGACAAAACATACCCAATTCCATTACTTCCGCCATATCGACGTCGAATATGGATACCACAGATTGGGGCTTACCATCAGCATCTTATCCGTCTAGTGGATGCGATCTTCAGAAACTATTCAAACCGCAGAAACTGATTCTCGATATCACACTCTGTGGAGGCTGGTAAGAGCGACTGCCGTCATTGAATCATCTTTCTCATAGACGTATAAACAGGGCTGGCATACCTTCCATATTCCATACCGAATGCTCCGGACAATGCGTACGTGGGGAAAATGCTCCCTTTCCGATCACTGAATAATCTCCTTTGCAGGTACAAGATTTCGTCCTGGGTCCAGGCAGCCCAAAATACGACAACGCGTGGTTCGAGATATCCTATATTAAAACGTACACTGCTATCGCCGGGAATGCCACTGCTACTGGAACGACAACTCAGGTGGTGACGAGTACTTTTGGTGGAACAGTAGCGTCTTCCACGTCTTCAGCTAGACGTCGACATTCCGCCATTTCTCGGATTTTTAGTGGGTTCTTACTGTGTCTTGTCTCGCTCGCTATGCTTGTATAGTATACACCCTTTGGCCTTTGATTGACTTTGATAAGTTATAATTATACCGCTTGCCTGCATGTGTAGACTTGATATAAAACAGGTGCTTCTATCGATATTATGTAGTTTTCCAGTTATTCACCTTGTACGAGAGATCTCGAGTGCTAAGTACTGTTCCCTTTTCATTCACCATAATGAGCTCCAGATTGTTAGAAATCAAAGGATGGGTAGCGGTCGACATTGCAATTGCCGTCCCATTAAATATCATTGGCTACGTTGCAGGCCTACTATAACCTAGTGTCGTATATAATCCCCGATAACCCACGAAGTCTCAAGATTGAATGGTTAATGGTATGTCAAAGAGAAATTCTTGAATAACGAAAATAAAAACCGCTAAGTATAAGCAGCACATTTCCAATGCAGGCGCCCGGCTTCAATTACATGTATGATCGCGGCAGAAGGCGTAGGTTGTAATATTGGAGTACGATTTGGCTCGGTTGCAGGACGCCAGGTCGCCCAGGTCGCCGATCACCCTTATTTTCCTGCTGCGATCCATCTTTTCCACAGAGAAAAGCTGGGATCTCGTTCTAACAACATTTTGTCTGCGGTTCCGAAACTGTTGGCATGCCTCTTTATTTCCAGCCACGATTGTTTCGTCAAGCGTGAGGCAGAAAATGGTGTCCGTATGTCGCCCGCATATACATTGGTCTGTTTTCCCGTACGCCATGAGCACGATACCCCCTAGAACTTATCACACGTAGCTGCCACGCTGGAGAACAAGCATGATCACGGCCTAACCAATGAGGGTCACGCAAATTCTATATCGCAACCGCAACGCCATTCCATCCGAATCCTATCTCATTAGAGCCAACAAATACGCAGGGAAGATTTTACCCGATCTAGGGTTTGTTAGTCTGCCACGAAGTAAAAGAATCATATGTACAACGAGGCGATGATATTAATCATCCCGACAATAAACCACAGAGCATTCCGATCCCGATGTTCCCGCGGCAGAAAATTTGGTCACCCGCCGACTTACGCAAACGAAACATCGCTGATGGGCAATTTCTCTCTCAGCCCGCCAGATAAAAGCTTCTTCAGAGCAAAGGTAGATAGGTAACTATCGATCAAGAAGCCAGGCGTGCCGTAGGATGAGAGGCGATGAGTGTTGAAGAGGGTTAAGAGATTGAATACTTCGTACGAGAGGCGTCATCTTTTTTCAGTGCACCAGATTGATGGGACTGGTATTTTGGACCGAAGAATCTTCGAGCACAAAAGAAACCAGGGAGTCTTTGTTCAACACCAGTGAGAAAACCTCCGCTTGTTGAAGCTCTAATTCTGCCGCTTGGGTGCGATGAGGGACGAGATGCTGTGGGGGTACGAAATGATACAACCTTAAAAACGGTCTTAGACAGGATTAATTGGACCACGAACCACAACTATAAAATAGCCACTATGAGAACACAAGGTTTTCAGAGTAACACCGGCTACTCACTTTGCTTTATTGCGGCATGAGCGCAGCATTCCCTCCAAACATTCCCTCCAGCAGGACACCTGGAGAGGCTCCCGCCACTATTGTTTTCAGCAAGCGAAGCGCCTCTCCCCTACCGACGGCAACTACTTCTCCAAACCAGGAAGTATATGTGCAGCCGCCCATTGTGAAATTGCTACGACCCTGTTGCGCACGGTCTCGTTACCGTGGTAGTATCTTCCGCCATCGGTATGCTTATCGTTGCTGTCCTATTCTTGCTGTGGTGCCGAAAGCTAAAAACTAGGATAGGGCGTTGTAAATTTCCGGAGGATGATCACGATCTGTTGCTTGGAATGGCTAAGGACTTGTCTATGTATGGACCGCCGGGTGAAGTGGCGGAGCTGGTGCTTTTTGAAGGGGAGCGTTGTTACAATCGATGATACCACATTGATGAAGAGGAAACCCAGTCCCTAGGGAAAGCGTTGGACATGGTACGATACTGCAATGATGGAAAGAAGATGAGTGTTTAAGTATGTTGCTTCAGCCTTGAAAGTTACGCACCAGCTCACGTTTTCACCAGTCATTCCATCCTATTAACTCCTTCAGATATCAATACCGAGTCTCGAATGTCGTCACTAGGTGTTTCTTCTCACGCTAGAATACCTGTCAGATATGAACATGCCCAAGGAAATGCACTTACCTATAATTATTATCTAGCTGCACCGCATAAATTTTAACATGCAGTTCACGTAACGTATCGTAGTCCTATTATTCATCAGCCTTGATCAGTACGGAGTCGCAGTACCCGCTCACAACGAGTCAGATCACGAAGATTTCACCGTGCTGGGCAGTGATCAGAACGACATTGACCGGGGACCCCGTTACATGAAGGAACGATGACAGATTTTAAAGGCGACGAAATGAGGGGCGTTTCAGAAGGAAATAAATTTTGTTCAATGCCGCACCATTCATTAAGCGCCGCGTCGCCGTGGCGGGTACATGGTATCCTTCTGCTACTGCCGGAAGTGGACGGTCTGAAAAAAAGAATTTCGAGGTCAACTAACCAGTCGTATATAGTCTGTCGCGACAGATAGCGAAGTCGTGGGCTGGACAGTCTGCCAGTAACGGCGGTACTTAGCAAAGATTAACAGCTGGTGCCGAGAGGCCGGTCTGTCTTCGGACCCTGGATTGTGATCACGGCATGGTCGGCAGCGTCTCGAGGAAATTTTGAAATTCCCGATATAGTCATCACCGCCTGGGCGGATGATTAGGGGGACGGGTGAGTCGTTGAATCATCTTTCTCATAGATGTATAAACAGGGCTGGCATACCTTCCATATTCCATACCGAATGCTCCGGACAATGCGTATGTGGGGAAAATCCTCCCTCTCCGATCACTGAATAATCTCCTTGCAGGTACAAGATTTCGTCCTGGGTCCAGGCAGCCCAAAATACGACAACGCGTGGTTCGAGATATCCTATATTAAAACGTACACTGCTATCGCCGGGAATGCCACTGCTACTGGAGCGATAACTCGTGTGGTGACAAGTACTTCCGGTGGAGCAACACCGTCTTCCGACGCAGCTTCCGTGTCTTCAGCGGGACGTCAATATACCTCCATTTCTTGTAATTTGGCTAAGTCTTTACTGGGATTTGTCTCGCTGGGCTTGTACAGCGGTGGATTTTTGAGCTTCTGATTGACTTGAATATAATTTTATTCATTGTATACATATGTAGACTTGATATAAAGAGATACCTGTATCGCATCTATGTTTTATTCCAGTTTTCGTTCCACAGTGAGTGATAGAGTGCTCTCGAAATTAAAAGATCGGCCTACATCACAATCGCCATCCTACTAAGCATTCAGCCTATTGCCCAGCCTATTGCCGTATATAATTCCCCAACAAGCCGCGAAGTCTCGAAATTGAGTGAAGAGCCTTCAATTCGGTTTCAACGATCGGCATAGAAGTGCTGATCTTCATAACATGCGCAACTTCAAGGAGAACGGCTATGCTTCTGTTTAGGGGGATCGATATTGCACTTTTCAGCATGCGGTCGTATTCTTTCGACTCGTTAAATAGCATAGAATTTATGCTTGGGTGTTGAAAGGCATGCTTTATTCAAAATTAGATTATAGAATCCTAGCCACGAGAAAAGTAAGGTTAGGTTTACGTCCAATATCTCGAGAAGGGACATACAATAAAGTATTTCCGTCCTTCCCTAGGCCAGGCTTCATAACTCTCCCTCGAACCACCATCATCTTCGATCTCACCCTTCCACACCTGACCCAGCTATAACGCGCCATACAACTGGAACAGATCGCGACCCACCCCCGCCACTTGCCCTACCATCGTCACATCCCGCTGCAATCTCAGATGGAAACAATACACGAATAGTGGTACATCCGTAACTACAGCTGGATCCGGTCAGCATTGATCATGGAGCTCAAAGTGTGAGGAGTGTACGCGTTTGTGGCTGGATGAAGGCGCGACTAACTGTCACTGGGATGCTGTATATTGCTTCCATTGCCAGTAGTCGGGCGATTACGAGTCGCTGATGTTATCGAGACGTCATGGTATGCTCGAGGCATACCCATCCCACTGCAGAAGTCGACGCTGTTGTCCCTCCTCGAGAGTAGGATGATATTCCTTGCAACAGCCACCGATGTATGCGGGGCTGAGCAGAGGGAGAGGTAGTTCAGTAGCGCAGACTGGTTTATTTGAGAGGAAAGATGCGGTTTTTAGGATTCCGTGCAGTCGAAATAGACATCTGGGAGCTACTTGTTGCATAGACCGCTCACGAGTCGTTCCTACGGCCGTCGGGGTATTAATTTAGTAACTGCGGGTACTATAGAAGTTGTGTCAGTTATACTCGGCAGATAAAGTTAAAGGGCTACCTCTGGAGAGCAGAAGTCGATGTCGCTTAGAGAGCCCTAGTGCGGTGCGGGAAGGGCGGTAAGCGTCGATGTCGAGAACGGCAATTTAGCAGCTGGATTTCGCTTAAGCCCAAGAAAGTAGTGCTCGGGTTACATTACATGCAGCTATGATTGGCTAAGCAGACGCACTGAGGTCCCGAAATTACGTTTCTGGTTTTCCAGCAACGATTCATCCAACGTGAGGCAGACGAAAGATGTTCGCATGTCGCTCGTCGAAACATTAGTCTGTTTCTCCTGTGGCCCATAAGCATGAAGCGCCCTCTCATTCACACTCGCATAGATGCTATCCCAGAGAACGAGCTTGACGACAGCCTAATCCTGAGAAAAAACAGTATCGCAAATTCGGTATCATAACACGTCCGAATCTTGTCTCGTATGTGCCGAAGACTTTACCCCATCTATGGGTCGTTAGCCTGAGACGCAAAAGAAAGAGTCATACGGCAAGTACCTACGGCGACCCGACATCACTTGAAGATACTAATCATCCCCCGCAGTAAACTACTGGAAGGACAGAAGCTGATACATCCCAATGTAACGTCATTCTGGCCGCAAGGTTCTCCCACCAGAAGCCTTGGTCATCACACACATCGACCGATAAATACAAACACAAGATTGTCGATGGGCAGTTTCGCTTTCGGCCGATTTAACGGAACCATCGTCGGAACGAGGGCAGATAAGTACTCGTCGATCAAGAAGTCAGGCATGATGAAGGATGACCGGTGCTGAACAGTGTTAAAAGATAGAATGATTCTCCACTTGCACGATAAGCATTGTCTCTTTGTTGCAACGAACGGATGGAACTGGGACTGAAGCAGGGACGGATCCCATAAGCACAAATGAAAGGGATTGACCCTGTTCGATGCCAATGAGAAAACTCCCGTTTGTTGGAGCTCTCATTCTCTACCGCATGGATACGATGTCCGGTACCGAGACAAAAATTTGAAGTGAAGAACATGGGCAAAACGCGGCAACAAGTAGAAAACATCTGGATCGTATCAAAAAGAACGGCCCCATCAGTCATCACCCTAGAGACCGGATAGGCATCAAGTGCAGAATGATACACACTGTAAAAACGGGCATTTCAGACCGTATTGCGTAGACCACAGCTACAAAATCACCATCATCAGAATTCGAGTACTTCGTAACAATAGCCATTACTTACTCTGCTTTTCTGCCATATGGACCCAGTATTCCCTCAGAAACCTACCACCATTTTGATCGGCAGGCTAAGCCTTCCCCTACCAACGGCGTGATAGATACTACCATGCCGGATAGACAGACGAGTGCCGACTTCACCATAGCCTTGAAAGTTACATGCCTGCTCGTACTTTCGCCTGACATTATGTTCCATCATTCCTCCATGTTATCGATGCTACGGGATAGTCAGATGAGCGCCAATTCTGCCGCAGCTTTGAAAGTGACGTACCAGTTCATATTTTAGCCTAACATTCTATTCTATGAATTCTCCTTCATTATCGATATTGCGTCTCAAGCGTCGTCATCCTGAACTATGATCGCGGTTGACGATTGACATTCCTTGGAGAAAAGAAGAGGATTCATCCCTGTCCTCGAAAACGATATGTTGGCCCTCCTCAAGCGCAAGCTCGAACTCGGAAGCCGTAGATGTAGTCTTTACTTTTCCTTCACGTATACTTGGTATGACGAGGTGTCGGAGGGACGCTCTGGCAATAAACGAACTGAAGACGAAGTGATAAAGAGGTGTTTCGATCTGTTGTTGACCCACTCGGCTCGATGACCCTTTTTATGGCAATAGTTGTCTTCCAGAGGTAATAGAACCAAACATATCAGCCGACGGCCCGGAGCATCGCTCGCCCTTCAGGCTTCTACTGTGTATGCATTGCATGTACATGACCTAAGGATTGGCTGCATGGCGTTAGACACAGGTACATAAGTCTCGTTTATTTCAGTACTTATATTTTTGGTTTTAGACACTTTGCACATCCGGCGGCTCCAAGAACCCCAGTAGGGCTTCGCACCGTCACCGTATAGTACGGTTGTACGGGTGCCGTCATACGGGTACCGTATCCGTTCCGTCTGGCAAAAGACTTTGCCCAGACACGGACGGTATACGGATATCCCGTCGCCCGTTAACAACCGTATAAAGACGGCCGTGTGGGTTGTCTAAAAATAACCCTCATCAGAGCACGCTATACGTATGTTTACCATGTGCTCAACATCGTACCACGATGCGCTAGCACTGCGATCTCTTCAACGCTACAGCTAGCTCTTATTTTGCTCGCTCACATGAAGCTCTATTTCTTATGGCAGGCATAAATACTTGCTCTTCCCTACTTCTGCTGCCTCTGCCCTACTCCTGTTCATCCCTTTACTATTCGCTCATGTTTCGAAATACATTGCCCACGGGTGGCCGGTGCACCTGTCAAATATGGCGAGTAATACATTTTCTCACTACCTTACGGCCGTCTATATACCCGTACCGTACCGTCAGCCTAGTTCTGAGAGCCTTGACGGTACGGTATACGGACCAGCCGTCGCCCGTCACTGTACCGTGGCTATACGGCCGTATACCGTATACGGTACGGTGCGAAGCCCTAAACCCCAGATAGCGGCTATTTAATCTCCCTTGACCTCATGCGAGGGAACACTCCAAATGACGGTCCCGTTATGACCGTCATCGACTAGTACGACGCTAACTCCCATCTCTGCCAGCAGCTGCCCCGAGAATGGGTGCTATCTCCATCCGTTCCCACCCAGCACCACATCGACATCAGGGCCAATCGGCCATAGATACTGAACTGAAGCACATTAACAACCACAAAAACTGTAGGGGGTCAAGTATCGAGTGCCATCTGCGAGCACGGGGACCATATCGAGAAAATAGCAACCACGACGACAAATAGGACGCCGATAGCGATGGCGATCACAAGAGAGGTGGCGAGCGTTCTAAATGAATGAAGGGTATGATGACGAGGCTATGTGGTAGTAGAGAGGAGCATAACAGAACAGAAGGTACTAATGGGAAGGTGGGATGAGGATCAGGCCCAGACGTCTAATAGCAGCAGCAATGACACGCTGTTTTGGGAGTCGATTACACTTCCAAGGACACGACGTACGACACCTAGACAATGATGACGATGCGAGCTCTGACAACCCTGCTGCTCTAACCCAACTTCTATCCATACACCTTGGAGTTGTGTATACGCTATTTTTGAGGTTGGGAAACGCGGCTCTGGTGTGCTTTTGTGCCCACAATGCAATGGTCACTGTGAGTTGGCTCTCAATTGCGCCGAGTTGCCTTAGACAGTTTCCGTTGTGACTGCCTCCAATCTCGCGGTCCACGCAACATAATCTGGTCGTTCCGTTCATCACCGGATCAGGTTAGTTCATGATTTAGACGCCAACGCGTGCCATCCATCATCCATTCGTAGTTAACGATTTCCCAAGGTCCATCCTTCGAAAAGACAGGCTGAGGCAGCGTGTTCTGATACCATACCGCTGGACGAATACATACTACATATTTACCAAACGGTGCTGGAATGCAACTGGAATGTCCTTATTTTAGCATCCACACATATAAGTAACCTTCAATTGAGATATTATGCCAGCGGCGATAGAACGCGTAAACCGCGTAGGCGATAGCACCGAGTAGTTAATTGAAGGATGCATCATGCAACTGTAAATTAAAAACGCGTGATATATCGATACTTCACCGTCCGCTTCCCTCTCTCTCTCTAATCCAAAGGTCCAGGAACGCGAATTACATAACGTAGTTGGCATCCTAGTCATTCGAAGAGAACCACGGCCGAAGTGATTCTCATTGTGTGTTCATCGCGAATTTATGGCAAGGTTATCACGTTGTAACGGCTGCTACACAGCTGTTACCGACGTATGTCTGCTTTCCATCCGTTTTTCCCCCTGTTCTGATACACCATCAAGCAGACTCCAGCAGTTCTCTGCAACGACCATCCTCCTCGGTGGGAGTTTGGCATCAATGCAGTAGGACATCATCAGGTACCCGCCACGGTAATTGTCAGAACCACGCTGCATATTGTACCATACACAGATGGAAACGTGGACACCGGCTGTATGGCGTTAGATAGAAGCCTGATGCTTGACGGTTAACGCAAGGTTAACGTTACCCCTAGTAACATGGATTATAACTCGGAATGAAGGTCTGTTTCATTTGACCAATACTCTTCTGATCTCTGTGTATTCAAATGGCGTCTTTTTTTCAGGGAGATGTTAGAAATAAAGTATATTGCGCAGTGCTAGCTGTATCGCTGGCATCCAAATGCTAAGATACTCGCCAGTTACCCACTACTGCAGCCTTAACCGTTAACAGGGCTTAAATATCAGGAAGACACGTCTCATCAAAACATTGCTAGCCACATTATAATGGGTTGCCTCTTTTCCAAACTGCATCACCTCTTTTCCAAACGACCGTCAAGATCCTCAGGATCCATCCGGCCAACCTCCCCAGTACTACCCATTGGGATAGCCTCCTCAGGATGCACCAACATCATGCCCCCGCGATCTACCCAGACCATGTCCTCAGTAATCGTTGGGACAGTCCCCTCAGGATACGCCAACATCACATCCTCAGGATCCAGACAGGCAGCCTCCCCAATATCTGTCGAGATCGTTGCCTCAGGATGCGCCGACATCATGCCCCCACGATCCACCCATTCCGCATCCCCAGTATCCGTCGAGATAGGCTCCTCAGAATGTGCTGGAAACATCACACCCTCATGCTCCATCCAGACCACGTCCCCAGTATCTGTCGGGACAGCCTCCGCAGTACCCGTCGAGATAGTTTCCTCAGGATGCACCAATATCACGCCCCCGCGATCCACCCATTCTGCGTCCTCAGGATCCGTCGAGACAGCCTCCGCAGTACCCGTCGAGATAATCTTCTCAAGAGACGCCAACATCACTCCCCCACAATCCACCAAGACCATGTCCTCAGTATCCATCGAGACAGACCCTTCAGGATACGCCAAGATCGCATCCTCAGGATTCACCCAACCAACCTCCCCAGTATCCGTCGAGACAATCTCCCCAGGATACGCTGAGACCACGTCCACAGGACATGCTGAGACAGCCTCCTCAGGATATGCTGAGACCACATCCTCAGGATACGCCGAGACCATGTCTTCAGGATCCACCCAGATAACCTCCCCAGGACCCACTATCGATGCCAGATTCACAGATGTAGAACCTGCAGATACACACACCTACACTAACTATATCACCGCATCGACCAATACCTTTGACGGTCACCGCACCGATTCCGTTGACTCTTCCACCGACCGTAACATGGATCCGTCAATACGGATAGGTCCACCGACATCGCCGACCGCGAATACGCCAACTCCCATTAATAGATCCTTGTCACAGGACCCCGTCAGAGATGAGAATGGGCGGGGTGTCGTTGAAGCATTGAAGAAGACACTTCATCGTATGCGTACCAGGCTTGAAAAAGTACCTGCACCTGGTGTACAGGCTTTCCTCAGAATCAATCTTGGCGTGGTTGATCTGATAGAGGTGTGCCTGTTCTTTTCTGAGATTGCTCGCCATAGTTGATTTTACGTATCAAGACATCGCCTAACGAGCATGGGTTTCAAGGTATCTATGCTTTGATGCAGAAAGTAAACGATCGATATAGCACCATGATAAGAAGGTATCAGATAGCCGAAGAACTGCAAAGAAAGATCGCTTCCATTGCCAGGTATTTCCCAAACATAATTTATTCCTCGCTCGACCATGATACTTACCTTCGTTTAGTAATATTAACGAGTTTGTTCCTGCGCTGTCAAAATTACTCGATGAAAGGTCTCTCGAGCACTCTTTGATCACCGGGGATGGCCGTCTTCTGGTCACTCGTTTTCTACGCTGTATCAAAGAAGAACTAGACTCATTGGAGGTAGGATTGTTCGCGAACTCTAGAAAATCATTGCTCTCATTAAGTTTCAGGATGTTGCAGCTATCCCCGCAACTACCAAGATACCAGTTAGTCCTTCACCATGCTTTTTCCAAATTGTACTGATCCTCATATCCACAGATCTCCACATTAGAGTCCGTATCGGGGACCCGGGGTGCTGTTCGGCCATTCCAGGGGGGTGTTAACATCGAGATCACGGTGCAGTCTGGACCAGCGAACGTTATCGTGTCGACAGTTCAGCGTCCACCGTCACCCAGTTTCCATGATGACATACAAGGAGTCTCACCTCAATGTCCTAGGATCCCCTCGCTTGATATACCTTCCTTCAAGGTTTGGGACGAATCCCCAGGTGGAGGATAGGATTCATACATTGCTTAATGTTACCATCTAGATCGAAGCTTTTGGGAGAAGGTACCTTGACACAATTGTTTCTTGACTTATGCCGCAGTTGATGCGATGCCGATGTTATCTAAATATCTAGTATTATCCTTGGTCAGTTTAAATCCACCTAATATATACCTGTGTCAACAGAGAACTACAGTTACGGTTTGGATATGTGTTAAGTACTTTAACTAGTAACTACGCATATCTAAAACGCTTCCAGGCGTACCGTGTTCGGAAACACCATACGCATAATGCCTCGTTCTATCAAATACATACACTCAGTCTTCGATATCCTTTTTCCTCGCTAAAACATTTTGGGAAAAGGTGGTATCTAAAGCTCGACGACAATCCATTCCAAAGACTCCTTCTCTGACGAAGCATAATCAAGCGCTTGCTATATGTTTTGCCAAGATTTGTCTTACGCCTTTTCAAGGTACATGAGAGCCATGACGATTCGAATGCTGATGGATCAAATATCCCTTGCCGTGGAGATCCTCGAGAGTCATCACTGCAAGCAATTGGCATAGTGCCTGACTCTGAGCTTGATGTCGGTGATCAAGTGTTCCCTTGATTCAAGGGCTATGTTAAGGATCTGGGTATTTGAGTTAATACACGAGTTAATGAATACTCGAGTAAAACCCAAGTCGTGAGCGAGGATGACCGAAAGCAGAGTTCCAACCACCAAGAGGGATCCGTAAGGGTGCTAACAAGCGCTAGGTGTAGTTAACGAGGGCGTCGTCAAGCGCTAGGCATAACTAACAGGGTTTCAGAAAAGTGCTAGGCGTAGTCGGGAAGCAATTGATTGGCAAGCGCCGGGCGTAACCGATCAGAAATGCTTAGTTCACACAGTTAAGTGGACTTCGAAGATAGGTAAAATTAGCTTAAGAGATTCTAACACAAGGGCAAGTACAATATTTATATACCATTAGTAAGGGATTGAGTCATTATTATTCTAGTATTAGCAAGAAGAGAGAAAGCAAGAGAAAATAAGAGAAAATACCGGTAAGTCGAGGTCAAGACCGAGAAGACCGGGAGCAGGCATGTGTTGGCTCATGCTCAAGTCAGAAAAGACCAGATATCCATGACAGGCTAGCGAAGGAGCAGCTAGCACCCATGGCAGTGGCTGCCCTGGACTTGAAATGCCTGGCATAGGAACAACAGTGAGATAGATGGCAAATATTAAGGAGAAAATGTTTACCATTATCCACCCGTGTTGTGCCTAGTTCTTTACAGTTCGTACTGATGTTATATCGGACTCAATACAGCTTTCCACACCGTTCATCGGGTGCCACGTCTCATTTGAACTTGTATCGCATATACGGCATGGTGCCTGGCATTGCCAGGCTTCGCGAGTCTCGATCTTGTCTCCATCAACGGCTATGGCAACTTCCCTTTGAATAAGAATGTGTAATATCGATGATGTTGGAGGTACAGGACTTATTCGATGGAAATGACGCGTACCGCGTTAAGGATCACATGATCTTCAAGTGATCTATAGGGACTCTTATATACTTTATATCCTTCTTTCCTTCTCCTCGATCGCTACTCTACGTTCGTGCGCTGAGGAGGTCAGTATTCTTTCGTCTCACCGTTATCGTATCGTCACTTACTTATTCCATACCTTAGTCTAACCTTCGTTGTCTTCGGTACAGGTTCCCTGGCTGACAGATGACTCCGTGAAGAAAATCTCGTATGTCGCCTGTCATCCTACGCGACCATTGCGCCTTTTTAACATTGAATCTCAACCACCAGATCTTCCGGTTTGTACGCACGACATCTTAATATTTTTGTCAGGAACGAACCGAGGCTCTTGTGAGTGTGACTGCAAATCACGGTAGCCGTTCACTTGAAGTATTGAACCAACCATGCTTGGACTGCTTTAAACATGCTTTCAGATGTTCGGATGTTTTTGTTTCGGTAGACCTTGTGGGTCTTAAGCTATTCATGCTGTGTCACGTTTTATTAATAAAACATACATCTTCGCAGATATCGATGGAGTTTGATTTGAACCCTTGGATTCGAAACCTAACTGGTTAGCCCTTTGACGCTATCATCAGTGCCTTGATATTCTTAGGCTTCCTCCCTGCCACAATTTACTATTTTCATCCAGACAGAAGGGTTAAGTTATACGTACGCCTGAAAATAGTGCCAGGAGTTCCTTATTTTCGGTCCCTATTCTAAGCTTACCGACATTCCGATTTAGCGCAGCCGTCTTCCCGATGCCAATTGCACCCGATTGGCTAGCTTCTTCACTAAACCGCTCTCCGCGCAACCTGCCGGAAGATTTCTCGTTCATTTGAGAACTTCGCACTTCTAAACCCGCAACACCTGAACCGCTCGTATGGAACACAGGAACTAGCTCAGGCCTCCCAATCGTTCACCATCCATTTCATCCATTGGCTATAAACAGCATGATGAAAGATCCTGCTAATACTGATCTATCGGACGATCTACCACAATTTTTGGACCTTTCACTTTCCGCCTTTGTGATATTCGGTGCCTTACCAGATGCACAGCGCGGAGACCATTCGCCACCAGGCTGCCAATGCAGTTACATCTATCTCGAACTCTTCTTTCCGATCTCGTTCATCTCCAACATCCTGTTTCCACTGATCGCTGTCAGGAGGCGAGGACAAAGTACCGAAGATACCACCACAAAGAAGTTCCCCGTCTCGGGACGAGGATCGCGAGTAACGCCGTTGTACAACAGAGTTAGCGTCGACACAACTCAAGGAAGGCTCGTTGCACACCGTAAATACTAGTTCGTAACAAGCAGTCTCAATCCCCGCACACGGCTCATCGTGCCAACCACCAGTGTTATTGGGTATGCGAGGAAATCCGAGCTGATTTATCAAGCCCGTTGTCAAGAAACCCATTCGATTAGATTGCCACGACGCCAAAGGATCACGTTGAAATGCTGCGTTTTCGAAGTAAACGTTCTCAACCGCCTTGGCGTCGTCAATGATGAACAGAATGTCCCGCCCAACATGGTTGGACAAGTTCTTGCCGACGTCACTGAGGTTCAGAATAGATGGGATTCCTAGATCTACGAGTTCGCTGCTGTCGCCTATGCCAGAATGAAAGAGTATATGCGGCGTTCCAATGACTCCAGCAGAAAGAATGCTTTTTTTCAGGAATGGAGACGCCAAAATGTGTTCTATGACTGTGGCAATGTTGACAACCGTAAGTCGCTGTCAAAACAATTATCACATATCTCCAGCATCGTGAGTAAACTCGAGGGCAACAAACGTTATATTCGTGTTACCGGATGGGAGAATCCGGGTAACATGGGCGTGAATAGGGACATACGAATTGGGCCAGTCAATGAGTGTCGGCCCAAGATACGACGTCTGTGAGCTGCTTCGAGTACCATTTCCAGCCGTTATAGATGCCCATCCTACGTCATAGCAAGGTTTCATGGTCCGTCAATTCCAACTGCTCACCAATGCCCAACTGAGGTCCCGTATTGTAATCCAAATTGAAAAAGAATTCGACAGGAAGGTCATCCCCGCCTTGATGACACGCCCATCGGTAGGTCGCGGAGATCTGGGGAGAGGCAGACATGACCCCATTAAAGCTATGTCACCAACGAAGAATGTGGGGTGATACACGTTGGGTTTGAGAACACTACAAATTACATCACGACGCGTCACGACTCCCAGATAATATCGGTACCTAACTATTTTGTTGTTGATTGTTGTACTGTTGACGTGTGTCGACCCCGACCAAACTGAATTGAGCGAACGTTCATGGCGAGACTCCAACAATATCTTGCTCAGGAGAAGAGGAGACCAGGGAAAGACGACGCTGGAGTATGAGGGAGAAGATGATGGTGGTAAGAAGGAAAGGGACACGGAAGGCGTGTCCTATTTGCTCAATGTTTGCTTTTGATTTGTTCAGTCGCTCGGCCCGGCCTTCCGACCCTTCAACGACCAGCTTGCAGGAAAGCTCTGATACCCTCTTTCTCGTCATTCTTTGTCTGGTACCATTCCTCAAATCAGCTCCAGAAGAATAAAGACTTGTTCATGAATATATTCTTTAATTATTCTGTACCATAGGCTTTCACCGGTGACTCCGACCCTCCAGCCCCGCCAAGTCTGCAGTGCCGCCGCTTTGCCAGGGAGATCTTTGCAGCTGTCTCTGCTGTGTACTCTACTACGAACGACTACAATAGGAAGTGGACCACATCTTTCTGCAGAGGAGACTTAACGCACGGCCTATACGAGAATTTCCTTTCGCTTCTTACCCTAGCATCCAACCATACAAAAGCAGTCTCTCGGTATTCAGTCTCTTAAATTTTGCATGTTAATCCTCTGGCTTCTGCTCCAGGACTCGTCTACGGTGCAAGGTGTGGTGAAATATTCTCCGCAGGTTCCCTAAGATTGACCAACAACCATAGAACACCCACCAAATCCATACAGCCAGTTGTCGGTCGGCTGTTATAAAATATGCATCGGTATACGCTCTGGCTGTAATGGTTGCCGCTGGTAATAATTTGCCTACGTTGTAGGGGTGCCCCTCGGTGACGGATCGTTCCGAATCAGTGAAGTACGCAAAAACGTAACGAGCGTCAATCAACGGAGCACTCGTAGCAGTCTTACTATAGTTAGAAACCGTCACATCTGTATATTATCTCCCTCTCGGACCATATTCCCAGTACTCGGAAGAGAACACGCGGCGTAAGTTTATTATATTTTGGCATGGTCATGTCGACTGAATGCTGTTTGCAGGCGCTTATGTTGTAGCCTTCCTATGAACGGCGTGGTCATCGTAACCCCTGCATCGAGGCAGGAATGGGACCAAATGACTTCATGGCAGGCAAATGCGATCTGCGATATCAACTCTGTGAGATTTTCGTTCGTAATGCCGTTACACCAGCTAATTCAGATAGAAAGAATCTGATTCCTCGCACTACAGCCTTGCGTAGCAAAAGTACCCTTCGCCAGCTAAATTTCGAGTACAGTCTCCCTACATCGTGCCGAAGAAAATTCCGGACCCTGCTTCGGAAATCTTCATAAATCACAACAACACATATGCTCCCCTCCCACTGTCCGCACTATCTGACGGAGTCAACGCGTAAACGGATCAACAGGACCTTCCGTAAGTCTTCATGTCCTTCGTGCTGCTTCCAAAGAAGCTGATGCAAACTCAGGTACACTTCTCATGCAGTAAAATTTTAGCGCTTTCTATACCTCCCCCCCATGATGTTGATGACCCGTGGCCTTCGTTTCGGATCGAGGGAAGAGCCTGTTTCTCCCTGTTCACCGTCCAAATGGCAAAGAGACGCCCGAATTTTAATTACTGGCCTAGAGTCTAAGGTATTTTCACTACGCTTTGCGTAGCAAGGCGCTAATATCATTCATTCCAGACCAATTAATGTCTCATCGCCAGCACTTCAAATGGCGCCTCAATTTTCTAGGTTCTCACTTCTCCAAAACGGAAAGAAACGACTTGTATCACTATGACGATAACGGATATGCCAGCAGCATGTATCGTCTGTGCTCTTTCACGACACTCCACTTGTAATTTGAAGTTCCGACATTTGATCCACTTTCTGGCCTCATATTCGTCAATACTACAGCTTCACGTCAAGGACGGAGACGTATTGAATCGACCGCATATGTGATATATCTAAACAGTTCCCGAATACTCACCGCCCTTGGGGAGCCACTTACACACGATATGGATCCACTGACTAGTGGCCGGGCTCTATAAATCTAGGTGAATCACCTTCCTCTGACATACCGATGTCAACAAATATTCTATCTCCGATCAGCGTGGGCCATCCGTGCAGCCCACTCCCCAATACAAAACCTGACACATGCAAGGCAAGCTCTAGTACTTAAATTGTTCACTCTTTCAGTTCCGCGCAGTCGATCAGCATCCTACGGGTTGCGGAAACTTTGGCATGAGGCTATGACTCCCACCGCCCAGCCACCGATATAATGCAGTCGTCTACAATACAGCCGCAGATCGACCCTACCGCACCAAAGCCATAGAGTCCGCCAGGAACGGGGTCGCCATCTGATATAAAGGGACTTCAGTGCGCCACTATTATCACCTCGCTTAGCACAACCGATGGCTAGATCCCTCTCTCTGGTGAGCTCTTTGTATCATCCTTTGATGACTCCTCATTTTTATTCCTTCATCGGAAGAACCTTGCATTTGCGCTGAGGCTAGCGCCCCTTTGCCCTCTAATCTATTCCATCATTGGTTCCTGCTTGCCCCTTGACACTCAGGGTACTGGTTCGCCACTCGAAGAACCCATTTTCGACTCGGGTGGTGGAAGAACCGTACTATCCATTCTCTGGAGTTCATTGGCCACCATTTTCGCTTGCATTTGGGTTTCCGTCCATCCAAATGTTCCGGGGCCGAAAATGGAGAAGAAAGGGTGGTTCTACCTCAATGTTCTTCGTCGTGCGGAGTTGATGGTTTTCACTGTTTTCTCCCCGGAGTTCGTCACTATCTGGTCACTACGTCAACATTCTGTGGCTCGTCTTATTTGTGCGCGTGAGTACCAGTCTGACGTTTGCTTAGGACAGAATACTGACCGTAGAACTAGTTCGTCCGGGGAAGCTCAGTATGTCGCACGGTTTCCTCGTTTCCATGGGTGCATTTGTGTACTGTGACGGATGTCCGATAACTCTGGCAAATCTGAAACAAGACCATAGGCTCGTGGATTTGCTTTGTCAAATAGAAAAGAAAGAAATCAATGAGAGAGATAAAGGCGATGGTCTTTCCAAAGCAGTGGCCGTGGGTCAAGCCACGTGGTTCCTCCTGCAATGCGTTGCCAGGGTAGCGCAACACCTGCCTCTCACCATCCTCGAAATAGTAGCCATCGGTTACGCCATTTTCACTATCATTAACTATGCAGTTTGGTGGCACAAGCCTCTCGGAATTTCTATCCCATTTCAAGTCGCCATCACTTCACCGACAAATGCCCCATTCCTACCAGTGAATACCCCGACTTCCGACGAATCGCAAACACCGAGGCCACTCCCCAGCCTTTTCCCCAGAAGCATGGACATCGAACATCTTAAGGACTGGGTGAATTTTCGCCTTTTATCCATATTCTTCGGCGGGGATATAATCCCAGAGGTCGCTGGTCCCTCTAGTGAAAGAGGAGTTCCCCGCCTTTGGTCTGGACATCCAAACAACACAAGGCTATTTTATATTGTCGCATGCGGCAATTGCATCGGCGTGTTCTTCGGGGCCGTCTATTGTGCTGCCTGGCACTACCCCTTCATGATATCAATCGAACGAATTCTCTGGCGGGGGTGCTCCATTATCTTCGCGCTTGTCCCTCCCTCCGCTATCCTACTCACGTTTGTAACTGAGAAGACAGCTGAACGGTTTGGTTTTAACGAACCCGAAAGGGATAGCCGTTTGTTCAGTTTTGCGTATCGGTCCCTCTATATCTTACTCTGGATCATGTATGATATGGCGAGGGCTTTCTCACTCGTGGAGCCATTTCTGGCGCTAAGGGATCTCCCAGCTGGCGTATCACAGGATATCACGTGGATTAGCTTCCTTCCGCATATCTGACACATCACCGTGTATACGTCTTTATTTAACAGCTCTGATATATCGCAGCAACGGTGACGATCGTCTAATATTCTTGGCTATCGATAATTGCTAAATTTTCCACTCGGGAAATTCTTGCCTGTCTTCGTCGTGCCTCGTCGTGTCCACCTTGAATAACACCTCGCCGCAACTGCATCGTGATTTGAAAGCCGACAGTTTCAGCATCGCTGCAGGGAACAACCATCATCGCGTTACTATCAAACCACCAGATAACTATTAACAAGTAAGTTGGGTTTCTTCCCATGTCCTCTGAATCTCATATTCTATGCCTAGTAGTGTCACGACTTGGATTGTATTGAACTAAAGACCATCTGTGCTGATGACACAGAATACCAACTACGCAAGGTCTCGACGTATTGCAGACTCCAGTACACATGCCGTAACTCACGCCAGAATGTTTCGCGCTGTAGGTACAGGAGCCGACAGTTTGACAATGGACAACAATGTACTGGTACTAAAGAACAGTCGCAGCCACATTTTCCTCGTATGTAACGATGGAAATGTCGCTTCCGCTCTCCTTCAAATGTTTCAAATACCAGATTTCTTCGTCTGCAATTATAATCCTTCCTGAGGGTAGGCTTATGACCCACACCGATATCCTCGTGCATAAACTTGGACGAAGCGAGATTATATCGACGAACGAATTGTCGATCTTGACGCGGACTTGGGCATCAAAAAATGGGTCCCCCCACTCGGAGTTGCATGGATGTATAATGTGAAACGTTCCCGTCCCAGGATCATAGTCTGCACAGCTGACATTTCCTTCACTAACTTATACCACAATTAGCTCGGTTCAATGACTAAGTAGTTCACGGAGGCGTGGGGTTGACTTTAGTATGTTAACGGAACGCTTCCGTCTGATGATGTTAATCTCGACGTTCGAATAGAAAATTTGACCGGCCAACAAGATTTTTCTGTAAGTGGGTGTGAAGGAATAAGCCTCTCGTTCGTACAACCATATTCCGTTGATGAGAGTACGCATAAGCAAACAGTATCCAAAGACGGACTTATAACTCCAGGAAATTCCTGGATCCACGCTGGCCCATATTTTATCATGTAGAATGAACGAGGGTTTAATGGGCTATCTCGGGGGTTGATGGTAGATGGTAGATAGCGGGAGCTCGCAATACAGATCAGTACTACCTTTACGCCGAAACTCCTGAATAGTGTTGCCGCGGCTAAGCTTATCTCGGCTTAACGCCGAAGTCGGTTTTGAGCCGTTTGCTCTCGCTGCACCAACGTGCAAAATGACAGGCGTTTTGATATTTTTATTCACTCAGAAGACTTATTGGTATTATCAAAAGTTGTGTTTTTGTTCCCCCCCCTTTCTATCCTCGGCGGCTCAAAACCGACTTCGGCGTTAAGCCGAGATAAGCTTAGCCGCGGCAACACTACTCCTGAACATATGAGAAGCGAAGGGGCATATGGAAATTGTAACACGTTTCCAGGTGTAAGACTGTCATGTTCGGAGTGTTTTGGAAGGCAACGAATAGAGAATCATGATACAGTTGAAAGACGCTGGGAACTTTGAGATAGCTTAAAAACGGTAACTTTCCATAGACCGAATCCTCCTGGCTGCGACAATAAATATTGGCCCAAAAATGGACATCGTATTCGGTCATTGATTTCCACTGGCTGCATATGCGCATCCAAGGACCAGTCATCAAGTCGAAAACATCATACGGGCATACGGGTTGTCGACTGCGCATGTAACAAAATGTGGGTCAAGGTTTCGACAGGAACCAGACGAATCGGCGGAGAAATGATCTCTGCAAGAACAGAATTAACTCGATTCAGCTCACGGAGAGGAACCTTGGGTATAATTCAATGTGGGACGGAAACTCTGATGATATGTTGAAGTGTAGAAACTTACTGTGACCATTGAGCGAAATAGAAGTCAACACCGTTTTGCTCTCCCAGAAGCAGGCTTGGGATACGATAGAACTTAGAAGTGTCAGTACCTCTCGTTAAGCGAGATTTGAGTGAAATCGAAGGGGAAATGAGTGTACTTTCGAATCTCGTAACGGTAAAGTTTCTAGCAGTCGCTTCTAGGTCGGCACACAATCCTGAAACAAGTATTCACAGCCTTGGAAATCCCTGAGCCTGTCTGTTTCACGGTCAAAATTTGATTGATTGATTGAATTACAGGTGACAGCATCCCAGAATCAATAGCCTTCTCATGGGCAGGCAGTTAAATAAATGTTTTAATGCTTTCTTTGAATGGCACTTCCAGTTTTTGCCTAACGGATGGCAAGTCTACGAGATTTTAGTGAACGTGAAGAGAGAGAGAAATTACTGGTTGAAAATCTACCCCGTCGGCCCATGATTTGACTAGCATGGTTCTCAGGAAAGATCAAATGAAGAGATCAGCCTACGAGATTCGTACGGAATAATGCATCTGTCGTCCTACAATAGTATTAGTATACAAAATAATAGTGCCCATGGCGAACCGCCGGGACCATGGAACAGCCTCGACTATCGAATCCAGAGCCAGCTAAAAGTAAGTACGAAATATTCATGATGGAGGCCCGAAACCACTATGACCGCTCTCACAGTTGTAAGACTAGCACACGTAAAGAAAAGCGCGATGCCGGCACTCATAGTTCGACACTGCGGCTAGCAACAGCCTGAGCAATGACCCGGCGACTGATATCAAGTGATATAACAGTATTGAAATTTATTAAAGGCTAGGTCGGCCGTCTAAGAACACATTCTCATAAATGGTTAGCAAGTACCAATCACAAGGAGATCCCGCGACTCTTTACCCCATGGAGGATGCGAATCTTGGAGATGGATAGACGAAGATATATCAGGTCACAAGGACAGACGAACTTGAGGGCGACTCGTATTTTGGCGTGGGTACTCATCTTGGAAGAAGTTGGAGTCTTCCTTCGTTCACGTGAATCAAACTGGTCTGAAAGCTGCACGAGTCGATGAAAGTATTTCATTAACGCATACACCTTTACCACGCTGATGTCTTCCCATCTGAACACAGACACACGGGGAACGAAAGGTACGAACTGCTAGAAAATTTTCAGCGTTGCCTGCCGCGAAACGAGCTTTCTCCACCGTTTTTGGTCCAGGAAATCGACAGTTTCTACTGGTGCCTGCATCCCTGAATGCTTTTACGTCGAGCCTTCTATTGCGTCACTAGCTAGATCCGCGGCGTCTTCCGATGACTTCATGTCGTCGAAGCGATCCTTGCGCAGCTTAAGCCTGTGATTCCGTAAGAGAATGATTAATCGCTGGACTGTCAGTACAGCTAGAAAGCATCCAATTATTCACAGCCGATGGCAACGTCCTGAGTAGGAGGGAGCTCAACATTCGTTGTGGACCTACGTATTCAGTTTCCTATGCAGCAATGTTTCAATGTCAATCTCACAGAGGCCGAGGCATGCTCACCTTCATGGAGTAACGAAAATCGGGGTAGCTTCGGTTTGTAGCATATGCAAGGATTACTACCCCGAAACTCGGAATCAGCCTTCTTACGACCATGCTTCATGGAGGATTACACGGATGTTGGAAAGACTTCAAATTCAGCGAATGATGAAAGGAAGAAAGTTGTGTCAAGAATGGCAGGTGATCTGATAACATTCGCAGTAACATAACTCTGGGCTGTCGCGTTTAACCGTAGTGTCAATGCAACCCAATCCTGGAAAAAAATTGCATGGCTTTCAGAGGCACACAAGTTGGAAGACAGTTGTAATCTAGAAATGTTCGGAGGGGCAGTTATCAACTTCAAGGCAGACAAGGAGAACGAAGGAGAATGTCCGCTTGAATCTCCTTCAGCTTGAGAAGTTCGACCCTTATTTAGACATTTCAGCATGTGAGAGCAGAGCAGTCCAGCGTACCGTAATTCTCCATATCTCCGAAGAAAGGAAGATCCACGGTAGGAATGAACGAGTTCATTTGTTGAGGATTGACAGGAACTGGCCCGAACTTCATTTTGTTACGGCCGAGAATTTGCTAAAAAGAAGGTTGCGACGAACCCATTGAGATAGGAACGGCATATGATCAACCTTCGATGGTATAACTCTGAGTAATCTCTGCGCCCACGTCTGAAGCCGGTCTGAAGCGTAACCCATGGAGGTAAAGACACTCTGAGGACAGAGAAGCATCCCCAAACCTCTCCATTGTCGAAACCATAATATCCGGTGGCGTCGCGAGCATTCTATAGGAGACTATTGCCACCGAAGAAACATCAAACTGATGGGGCACGACTCCTAGCGACGACCTTTATCTTCATTTAGCGCTGTCGGATACAGAAAGTGGTATAAGGAACACACGCATGAAAGATGGATCTCGTATGTTTTTAGTCACTCATGGTCAGTAGTTGACACCTGCCGGCGACACGGGTTGCTTGGGAGCTGGACATAAGATGCTTGTCTTGTTCGCGTTGCTCGCTGACAGGTAACAAATACCGTTGGTGAAGAGTTCACGCGAAAGGATTAGAACAGGAACGAAAAACTATCAATGATCGATCCGATCCCACAAGGTTTTTTGCTCCCTTTTTTGGATAAGATACACTTTGTCCATTGGAGCGGCGTTAAATCGGAATGGTGTCGAAAGTGAGAAGATAAGTGTGAATCATAAGGATAGTCATCATCGAATAAGGAAACTATGCAGAACCGCCATCGCACAAACTGCTCCTACTGCGATGAATCCGAGCGGATATCCACCCGGGTTGCCCTCTATACTAACGGACCACAGCTACAGTCATCGTCAATCTCTACATATAACGAGAGGCGGATAAACACCTACGTAACCACCCAAGACAGGGCCAAAACATCTGGCAAGACTGACAATACTTTGCGCCACCCCGTTGGCGTACCCAACTGCTTCGGGCGGGGACACTTGTATAGAAACGATTATGAGATCATGTTCAGGGATGGGACATCAGAGCATCACTCACTGTAATTCAAAAGGATTGCCACAGAGGTAAACGCAAATGTTACTCCGCAAAACCTTACGGCGCTATGTTACGATCGGTCAGGGCAAAAAGCTCCAAGGTTTGACAAGGCGAAGAAGACATACGTGCTGATAGCGAGAGCTGGGAGAATATTTCATGCGCTGATTAGGAATCATAGACTTCGAAAAGGGCGGAGAACACTAACCAGTCATCAACACAAGACTGCCACTACTATCTGCGCTGGCGAAAGGGCCGCGGTACAACACCACCGTCAAATACGATGGTATGAACAAGAACGAACCAAGCCGGAACATGGCAAGATGCGAGAGCCTTCCACGAGGCGGCCTACAGCGGGTGTCAGCTCAATCAGCCACAGATAAGCGCTGACAGCAAGACTTGCCCAAGGTTACTAGACAAACCACAGCCCAAAATAAGTCTTCAGCTCGCAAGCGAGAGAAAGGCACAAAAGACGTACGGATACAGGTAGAACTGATACACAATTTGAAAGATGCACATTATGGCAACTGCGAGAACGGTCAGTATGGCATGTTACCCTTGTCAAACGAAGCTTCTCACTGATTTGCGCAAATCCGCCAGCGCTGAGATTGAGACCGCCCGAATCATAATCTCTGAAAAACAAATTTCAGCAATGGAAGGCAGGGTATATGGAAAAATGGACAGACGTTACGAGATAAGACATAAATATTTGATCATGGGTCGTCGTATGCAGTGCAAGTAATCCATACTGCAAGATGATCATTCCTGGCAACTTCGACCACATCGAAGGAGGTCGCTCTAGTTCAACCTGCGACTTTCGCGCCTCCAAAATCGTTGTGAGCGCGTCGGTATTAGACATCAGTGTATCTGAACGGAACAACATCGATGGCGCCGCCGGTGCCGGTGACGACTCGACACCTGTATTGGCGTATATCGAAGGCATTCCTTTCGACACCGTATCCACCGACGGAGCAAGTGAGGCCTGCCGGAGTCGTCTTGTTTGCGGATGCGGAGAAGCACCGAGAGGCACAGGTCGAAGAGTAGGCGTGCCACTGCCGCCCCCGTTTTGCAGTGAGATTGAGCGGCGAGAAAACGGAGAGGCAGTGTTACTTCTGGAATACCGGCGCCCCCGGGACGTATCTATTGAATCGTCATCAGACAAATCGTCGTCTGTCTGATCTGGGTCATCGTTATCCACGTTCATCGCCGCTGCGACCCAAAGGTCTGCAATGTTGTTAACTGTGTTTTCGTTGGCCATGACCATACGGTGAGCAATGCTCGCGTCGCTGCCTCTCCTTCGTTGGACGTTCGAGGAAGGTAAGACAGAACTTGTCATGCTTTCCCGCCTCGCCCTGAAACTCTGACCATACCTGCTGGTAAAAGTCCCATACCCGGAGGTTCGGCTCGCCTTCGAGAACGTGTTCGACCTCAGTATCGGTAACGCAGCAGAAGGTCCAGGTTTCGGCTCGGTACTAGTATCTGCCGTATCCTGTCCGCGCGCTGATAGGTAGCCGGATAGCTTCTGTGTCAGAGTCTTGCTCAGAGATCCTCCAGTGAACGTGCGAGGAAATGCATCGTCGTCTGCATTCGGACTGGTTGTAAGAGACTCTTCCTCCGGGATAGGAGAAGGCATGTCTCCGTTTTTCTCAGGTTCCGAAGAAGCAGCGGTTGTTGCAGGACCTCCATCTCGCCCGAGAAAACAGGCCATAATGGAACCTATCCCAGAAGTTGAGCAAAGATCAAGCAAACGACACTGCCACCTTACCGACTAGCGTGATAGATGCAGCAACAGCGCATGGTAGGAGGTACGGGTATAGAGCGAAGACAGATCCGGAGCCGAAAGCTCCTGGCCATTTTGTGGCGGGACTTTCAACTGCAAAAAGAAAACGTAAGTCGTACGATCAGAGCGCCGTAAAAGTTGACTGACAAAACCCGCCAACAATCGCACCAGCGACACCTCCGAATCCCCAACAGAACCTGAGAAGTTGTTCAACATACTGTGAAAGATCTAGCAGAAACTTCATACCCCAAAATTGCATAAGCTCTTCCCGAGTTGCTTTCGTCAGTGATAGATGCCACTGCACCTCTTGCGACTCCGACAGCCCCACCAAATACACCTTGCAAGAAACGTACGGCCATGGCTTGCTCGATATTCTTGCATAGTCCAAAGAGGGCGCATGTAACAGAGCCGCCGAACAGACATACGACCAATACCATACGGCATCCATACTTATCAGCCACAGTGGCCTACGGTTGGAAGGATTGTCAGAGGAGCTAGAATCAAATGGCTGGATGGACGTACCCAAAGAAGCGAAGTCGCAAATTGTGTCAAGAAGAAGGTTGATACTATTGAGAGGCATCAGACGGCCAGACCGGCCGATAGGTCGATGGAATACCTAGTATGCCAGTCCAGAATGCGACTTCCGCGTCGTCAGATAAAACGCCAAAATCTACTCCTGCTTGAGTGCGACTCAACGACCAGAGCTACGGGAACAGACCTTTAACCATAAACAACAAAAACGGTGTTGAAACGTTCGCTAATAGGAATTCTCCTAACATCATCTGTGATACTTCTTATCAACAAGAATGGAACCAACAGGGAGAAGGGACGTACAATGGACAATACAATGATGGAGAGAGTTGGCAATGGTGTCGAGTAGACATCTGTGGAGGGCATAACTGTCGGCACTGGTAGTCTCTCCGAGGGCTCCTCATTGCCATCCTCTCTCCATCGCAAAGAACGGCATTCGTCTCGATCGCCATTGAGCAGGCGGCCCATAGCCCGACGAAAATACGCAGCTTCGGAGTTGTGTCGGGATGCCTCGTTTCCACCACGACTTGCCGACTCTTCATCACCCATAGACCTGGGGTAGGGTGAGCTCATGATGGTTGTCGAAAAGGATAACGGAAACTGCTGGGCTAGGGCTCCTTTTTAGCATCATTCGCATCACTGATGAAAAACGGGATTACATCATTCAACTCGGGCATGGCAGCACAAATCTCTCACCGTTATCTACCATTGGTTTGCTGGCAAAATTCACGCAGTACAGCATGCCGTGTATAGAACGACGACGAGTCGATGGAAGAGTTCCGGAATTCAAAGATGCGGAGCGAGAGCCGGATATGAAGATTGACATGGAGCTGCGATATGATAGCAACGAAGAAAACTTTCCTCCGTTTGTCGCGAACTGAATGCATAGGGAGCTTTTCGACGCGTCAGATACCCAAGGTCTGTCACATCAAGGCCGAAGTCTTCGTATCTGTTGTACAGGGGAGCCAAAGCAGTGTCGATGCTGCGACGCCTACATGGAGCTTCTCTAGTCAAAGGTAGTACCATCTGAACGTTTCTACGCCTGGACAGAGCACGCATGGGCCTGCCAAAATGGACGTAAAAAGAGCAACGAGAGCCAGACAAAAATAGGCTTGACGCACATGCTATTTTTGTCCGTGAAATCTTCCTGGCCTTCGGCCTTCTATCTGCGATCTAGGAGCAATTGGCGCCCTGAATTGCCACGAATTAAGCATCCGAAAGTTCTTCGAAGTTCTGTTTGACACAGATAGAGCTTTCGCTCCAGAGCAGAGAAGTTATCGCATGTGAGTGGGCGCTTGGAATACCGGAAGAACCATACAGCGCCTGAAAACTGGTTAGTTGGCATGCAAGAGACGAAGTAAACGGGCGTACGATGGCCCAGCTGGAGGGGATATCCTGGATCCTTATCGCAAAGGTTGGCTTCTCTGCGCGATCTAGGAGAGCATTTCGGCACCTCGTTATCGCGGATTTCCTATTGCTGTAACGAATGCTAACCTTCTCAGGCAACGTGGTCGACGACAACAATAGCTAGTGCAGGGTAAGGACGCGTCGGGAAAAGGGAATTGAATGGCATGGATATGTGATGGGAGTAAGAGGAAGAGATGTGTTTGTTTGTTTGGTCACAGCTGCAGCTACCTTGATCCTAACCCTCATGGTCGCGCGTCTCCCGCTCTCATCCTCTTCAGGCTCCTCTTTTTCTTCTAACCTGAACTCTGGCGTGCGTGATGGTGCCGATGGATCCAAGGTAAACACCCCAGAATATTTTGTCGACCCTAGGATACGTCTCCGATGTTCGGAGGGAACGTTATCACACTGCGATAAAAGGACCTTCCCAGGAATTCGGCCATGGGTGGGCTGTCGATAACACGGGGTGCGTTATATACTTCTCTTCTATTTCTCCTTCTTCTCTTACGGATTGGCGCCAGAAGAGCTGGGTATATGCGCCTTTTCGAGTCTTCATCGACGCGTCGAGACACTGTCGGTTTCTTCTTTCTGTCAGGAAAGGTGTGTGCTGATCTTCTCCCAAAGGAACTAGAGTCGTTCAGCCTGCGCAAGTGTGACGCTGCATCTGCGCGTATATCCATACCACAATGGCAACGACAAGGCTTGTGTATCGCAATCCAGACTTACCACTGCGGACGCTGGGCGCAGCGTCGATGAATCAGTTTGTACAATAAGTTCCCCCCGCCCGAAGACATTTTTTCATTCTGAATCTTCTAGGTCGGACTCGACTATATGCGCACCCGGTCCACCGTTGGTCGTTATTCAGGTACAACCCCGATTGTCAATGTTGACTCACGCTGGCGATGGAAAAGGAGCGTTGGCAGTTATTTACGGGGTTCCCATGGGCGGATCTCTTGGTGCATCAAGATACACCGCAGCCCCTCGTGCGTCACCGGTTCACCCATACTTGTTGGATGGCTCTCACCCGTTTTCAGATTCTGTTACTGGATGTATGCGTGATCAACTCCTTGCGCTACTAGGTCTTCAGCGGATGGCAGGTGGGAATCGGCGCTAGCCCATATGATACTGATACCGAGATATTCTTAGAGCATCGGCATTATGCCTATGACCTTGCTTTCTCCGCTGGTGCGTCCATTAGAATCAAACCTTCCAGACTCTTACATTTAGCATCCTTGTTCAAAGGATGAAACGCGAATCATCGATATTGCACTGGCCTTGACTAAATTGTTTCCTGGTGTGAACGGTCTGAAAGCGCCGCCTCCTACGCGGAGCTTTCTCTTCGCGTACTTTGTTCTCGAAAAATAGGAAACCCATGTTATCGTTGTCTCGTATGTTGATTCACTATGATAGTCTTTCTTTTTTCCTCATGTCTCGTCACCGCTTCTCACCAACTCCAGAACTGAAACTTGATTGCACACGAAAACTCCAACCATCGACCTGTTCGTCATAATATGGCATGCTGTCGAGAATGTTACGCGTCTATAAGCTCGTACGAGCGGGTTTAAAAAGGAAGAATTGCACGTACTGCCTTCAGGACTCGTAGGTTTCAGTTGATCGCTATACCACAAAATTAGACTAGGCTCACTTCGGTGTACAGCATCCCATACACTACTGGCAAGGATCTTACAATGTTTTCAACTTGTTTAGCTGTACGCCGGTACCTTTTCTTTGTCTCAGAGGTACGATTATCGATTTGCGTCCGCCTCGTCAGATGTCTTAACGAGGTTTCGATCGTACACAGACAATATCGACGTTTCTGGTACAGCGTTCCCCTACTTAACCTGAGCGCAGTGACGGATGAAATTTATCTTTCTCAGTCCCATCCAAATCCACACACATTCACATTCAAGATGGTTTCTCGAGTCGCTTTTCTCTCCTCATTCGCCGGCGTTGCTTACGCTCAATACACTGCGACCTACCTTCCCAGCAACGCACCAGCAACTTCCGAACAGGGCCAGGCCGGTACGAACAAGTGCGGAACCACAAACGACCAAAAGTCAAACTGTCAAAATGCCTACCGTACGTGTCCTTTTCATGCATGAAACAGAATCCTTCTAAATTCTTTGCAGTCAATGGTATCGATGACTTGTAAGCCGTCACCATATTGGGGTACATCCCTATCTCAATCACATGCAGCTGCCTCTGGAGTCCTCCCGATGCCGGTCCAAACTCCGGAATTGGAGAGACCGAGGTGTGTTTGATGAATTCTTCCACGACTTTGACTTATTCATATCCTCCAGCGTATTGAAGTCTCATGGTGTCTCAAGGTACCTATCCTTCAACCCGCATATTTGCGTCGATTCTGATCTTCACTCAGGATGGCTATGGTACTCGCACCATCCCCGCTGGAACTATCACCGGCGCCCATTTCGTTAAGACGCCAGATTTCGTGAGTTAACGCTTGAGGGGGTAAATATGCAGATATTTATGAATATCATAGGTCCAAATTACAGGTGTTGGTGATTTCACAAAGATGAACATCCCAGCCGGCGATACCGGAGGAGAGTTGGATCCCCATGGAGCAGATGGAAATGGTATGTGGATAGCCATAACGTTCTGGTTTTTCTCTGACAGCGTTTCAGGTAATCCTATTGGTGGACTAGTCTTTTCGTCAGCGTTCGGAGAGCTTCAGCAGATACACGAGTGGACGGTGAGTTATAGCGCTACTTTCGGAGGCATATACTGATAGGAGCTGCAGAGCTTCATGGCCGTCGACCAATTCTGCTTCCGGGCATGTAACCCTGCTGGTAACAATGCTCCGGGGTGGTGTGAGCATACCTGCCGTTAATGATTTGCTATTTCTCACAATGTCTTTTTAGGTCAACACATCTACGACGTGATGGGTTGTGCATGGAACATGCCCGCTAACTACAACGCCGGAGTATTTGAGTCGTGCCAGGGTGATAGTGGTCTCGTGCGTTCATGTTTCGCTCTTTGCTCCTTGTAGTATTGACGTATGCATTAGCCCATGGGTGTGTACGACGGGTCGACGTTCCAGCAGGGTCAGGGCGCAACGCCTCCTCCCCACCCGATTCCTTCATCATCCCAGTGTACCACTGTTACCGCTCTCGGCGCTGCTGCCACTTCGTCATCTAAGAGTGCCCCCGTCATCACCCAAACGGTAAGGGAATCAACCTTTGCCAAGTGAAATTGAGATGCTCACCATCTCTGATTAGGCATCCGCTGCGGACAGCGCCACAACGGCAAAGGCACAAGTTTCAGCTACTTCGACGCAGTCCTCTGCAGCGTTCTCCTTGGTTAGGTCCATGGATGGATGGGATAGATACGTGTATTCGATGGGCACTGCTGTGCTCTTCTCTTTGGTCGGGGCTGTTATAGTACTTTGATACCGTTCGCTGTTTGCGCTTTAATGGGACTATATAGTAGTATTATTTCTTTCGCAACATGTATACACGTGGGTTGTTCAAAAATTTGATTGAGTTTTTTGTCATCTCATTTGCTTGATCGTTTTCGTTTCTCTTTCAAGTGTGATTGACATTCGGCAAGTTCAAGTCCGCTTGTTCTGGTTATTTTGACAATCTTCACTAGTCTTTTCGCTATATGGCATCGTCTCATTCGTCCAATCGGACTTTTAGTGGAGCAGAATTGACATTCGGCGACCAATAAGGGTGAGGCTGCTTGTTCTTTGGTGGCTTTAAATTTGACGATCCTCACAAGCCTCTTCGCGATACGGCACGGCAATTCGTCGCCTTCTTTATTTCGCCGCGTATGGCCTCTATTCCTCTGAGATATCTAGTATTGTCCATCTCTCTCAATCATCTGTAATACCATGAGAAAGTAAACGTGCTTTCCAAAGATACGGCACTTTTATATCTGTTCGATAGGTTCTATGATTTCATTTGGGCTCAAGTATAAATATCAGTATAGCTTTGCGGCGCGATATGGGCGTCTCGGCAATAAGGTATGTGTTGGCGAGCTCTGCTAAAAACTTGGCAAGCCATCTTGCCAGGCTCTGTGGAGCATATAAATGGTCGTTGGTAAATGGTAACTAAAAAGACGCAAGGATTCGTCACCGAACCCCATCCATGCATTGTGCAATCGAACCCGAGGAACTAATTTACGCAGCCGACTAAGTTGCGTCTAGATCTTGTGATTATGGTAAAGCGGGGTCCAGGGAAGCAATGCATAATTGAATGGATCGAAAATCATCGCCACATCACGGCGTGTCTAGAACATCTAACCATCATGACAGCGAACACACTATTTTTCTGTGTTACATTTTCTTCGGACATTGGTTGCGTAAATGGGAGGGAAAGAAGGCGCTATTCCTTGGGGAGAGTACCGCTGAACCGAGATGTGGAGGCTGGCAAGCCACGCTGTGCTCGTAGTTCAGCTATATTCCCAAGGATGCTAGCCAGCCACCTTCTGTGCGTATCCCGAAACTTTGGAAATGAAGAAATAGACACGAAGAAATTTGACCTCGAATGGGAGGGTGTTTCCTCCACCCTACAGGCCAGGTTCGGATGCGAAGATGCAAGTGAACCGGCTTGCACATGCTATTTCTGGGGGTAACCTGCACGGGGCGGATAAATGTTCAGGCCTACCGCAGATGGGGGAAGGTAATGATCGACAGGGTGACGAGAAGTCATTATGTCGTGTCCCGTGAGCGAGCTTATGTATCAAAACATCCGCATAAATGTAAATTTTTCATCGGCATGCTACGCTCTGTTTCCGTGCCGAAGTCAACGACAAAATGGCGGGCAGAATTCGCGTTTCATGGTTTGTGGCTAACTACAACAAAGACTCTATGAATGAGGATGGAGCGTTTGAGAAGATTGTGAGCATAAGTAATATTACAACGATGACCGGAAGATGTCGCAGGAGACTTGGGTAGCTAGCTGGACATTGCGGCCAAGGACGTGGTGCAATTTGGGTTGTTGGGGCGGCAGTAAAACCTGTCAAAGGCTACTTGAACAGCATGGTAAGCCACTCAGTAACTTTGTTGTAGCCACTTGTAACAGAGTAATCGTCGGGAATGCAATACGAGAGTTGTACGAGAGAATACGAGACTCCCCTGACTCGGCGGCCATCGACGGTCACACAGTTACACAAATTCCTGATCGATCAATAACAATAGAAGAATCCGCTATCTGTGGCTCAATGGTCTAGTAGTATGATTCGCGCTTCGGGATGATAAATCCATTGATTATGTAATCAATCACGTGTGCGAGGTCTCGGGTTCAATTCCCGATTGAGCCCTTTATTTTACAATTGCGAATATTCAACGTTCTTTACACTTTTTTTTAAACAAATTTTCGAATCTCCGGTCATGTACGCGATATCCTTGGAGTACGAACGAAGGAAACATGTTTTACCCGCTTGATCGTACGTTCAATCTCTGAATGCTATATCAAGTATGTGTTCAAAGTCTCTCTGATCAGCCAAGCTTTCAACTGATCATCAACGACGTCAGACGTTGCTTTACCGTTCCTCGGTGCTACGCGAGAAACCTCTCGTTAACTTATATTATTTATTGTCTAGCGTCTATTCCTTGCGCTTCGAAATCCTCTGCCATATCCTGGAACTGTTGCTGCAGCGCGGGAGTACTATGCCGACTACTTATAGAGTAACGATCCGATGCCAGGCGGTTTTCTCTCTTCCTTGAGACACAACCTAGAGTTTCAGAAGCTATTGATGTTGTGCCGCCGTACCCTTTTGTCTTTCCATACCACTGCACACAAAGTCATGCCTAAATCATTCATTTCTGGCTGGTTCCTATATCTTCTCCGAGTTTCACATATGCTGAATCAAAGTAGCCAGCAGCGTAGTTCTTCGGTAATATTCATGATCATTGGAGGCGAGCTCTAAACGTCGAATCGGGGGGTACTTGCTATTCCAAATTGGTGCCGGTTCCGCGAGATCTGCAGTCGTAACTGAGAAACACGAAACGATATCAGAGATCCCTCTGGGCTTTCTGGAATTGCATATTTTTGTTGGCTCACGACGCCAACTTCTTCACAGCCGCCAGCTTCCGGCCTGAGAGCTTTTGTTTGCAGGTACAGATCATTTAATTCTTCCGAACCAAGTGCTAGATCCTTGTGAAGCTTGTGTCACGTACTTAATCCCTGATGTCTTGCATATTTCATCTACGACTTTGCAGCGATATGAGCACTTGTTTGAGAGCTCTCCTTTTCGAGTTATCCCCCCGCCCTGGTTCCAGGTCAGCTCACAGTTAGGGCCGGGTAAGTGAACCATTCAGGGATCATAAATCTTCTAATTAAAGCTGTATGTTTTCTTACAGTGGATACGGGCCCAGGTACGTTTGACCGGGCAGTGAGGGTTCCAGAGAAGGAACATAATCTTTCGGTGATCGACTTGGTGTGATCGAGTGGTTGATGCGAGGCTTGTGTGAGGGCGCTCGAGCACTTGCACACGACGGCGCTGTGAATTTTCATTAATAATCGTAAACTCGAAACCTTATTGACTCTAACCACGGCGTAGACGTTCCGCAGGAGGTGTGGTCGGCAAGCGTAGACTCCAAAGAGGTGAAAGTTGAACAGAGCTGAACAGAGTAATCTCTATGGCAATGAACACTATCGTTGCACTATCGACGGAGGAGATACTATCGTTGCTCCTGATTGGAACACTGTCATCAATAACGTATTTGTAGTACTCCTCACCGCTCGTATCTTTGGATATCTTTTCCGAGCCTTTATCTCAATGTGGTGAAACAACTACAAATTTCGAAGTGCGATAATACTACAGACCTCGGTGCTAGCATCATGATTTCCTGAATGAACGTACTACTAAGAAGCAGTAATGACTTGTGACAACTGCCAGACAACTCAATTCACAAAAGATATGAATATACATGATAGAAGGTCCACAGTTGTCTGGCAACGTGTCCAGGCTCTCAGACAGAAAACACCTCGGAGTAGGTGTGGCGCATAAGCGACCATAGGCGACCATCATCATCATCGTGAACAGTACTGATCGTCACTCGGGTTCACAAGATTTTTTTTTCTGGAAGCCAAGTTTCATTTGGTGAGCGAACAGCTACTAAGAGTAAATGCACGAAGTAATTTCGACAACTTCAAATGGTGAAATGATGTGTACAGACTCACCATATACTTACTGTTCCCATGCCACGGGGTGACGACCGCATGATATGTTAATATTTGTCCAGAAATATACATTTCCAGACGCCTGCTAGCAATATTCCCACGTTTCAAACTTTAGCGAAATGAATGGTCCTCTATAAGCCACACTGCATACTTTCAACAGCTGAGGTACCCGGCGGTGATAACGGAGAACACGATGCATTCCCAGTTGTATCACAATGATTCTTCCCCACACTAGATCATTTTTCAGAGGTTATCGATGATGGTCCCTCGCGACGCCCTGTTTATGGCTGTGTAGCTTGGACCGGTTTCAAGCATTTTCCGCCGGGCGTTCAATGCGTTCCTACCATCGAACCAAGCGACGGTCCTAATGCAGAAACGACACGCGTGCTCACCAGAAGACCGTCGCGCTTCCTCACACACATTCGTTTACCTGTAGAAACAGAAGACAGAACTGCGGGTGTGATAGTCGCAATATGAACGCTCGTAGCGTCGCTATGTATGGAAACATATACATCGGGTACAATATTCAAACCCTTGATATCCTCACACGGGGCCAAATTTACCTCCTAGTAATACAATCGGCGAGCACAGTGGGGCTCCCTCCCTCCCGTCAAACAAACTCCAGATGCCGAGACCACATCCCCCCAGCTTGCAGTCTTCGTTCTGATAAATTAACCATTAGCCTCACACCGTCCAACAGAAGAAAAAAATGCCATACGCGCTATTTCCTGAACCGTCAACCGAACCTTGCTTCGTAGGGTGGGCAACCGTTCCTCCACCAATGCCAGAACAGCAGATCCAGATCCATCGGCACTGGCACACGCCACATAGTCGCGGCACGTATACGGCTCGCACGAGTGGGAGTTACGACTCGGACGGCTCAGACCGTGGAGTTTTACGTTCACCTCGCGTAATGATGCTCCCGATGTGCGGGCGTCCAGCTGCGCCCATAGTAACGACTTTTCAGACACATCGGGGTTGACCAGTTCGAGAGTGAGCGTCTCGATCGTGGGATTGAGTGGGATGGAGTCTATCCAGGCTAGGTTGGTGACTTGGTGCCCGATGCTGACGTAGACAGATTTGAGGCGCTTGTGGTCGTCCATGAATATGGGCGCGGTGATGTCCCCTGTTTCAAGTTTAGAAACATTGATATACAGATGGGGGGATCTTGGCATAGGTAAGACTCACCGTTGTCGTTTATGAAAAAATCGAGATGCTCGAGTGTATTACGAGTACCCGCTATGAGCCCCACAAAGGCCTTATGACGGTTTGAGGAGATAGAAAGCTCTCGAAGGCAATCTATCCTCAATGGAGAGGACTCGTGCTGTATAAACCTGGCTACGAGACCGAGGTCATCTTCCACGAGTCGAAGTGACTCAAGATAGAGATGACGACCATCATATTTGGCCGTAAGATGTTGGATATCTATATCCCTCGAGAATATCGTGATGTAGTTGAGAGACAGATGCCTGATAGTATCGCTGCATTCATACAGAATACGCGCAATACCTTCAAAACCGGAGAAAGTGACATTATCGAGGTCAAGAGACGTTAACGATGGCAATCGAAATGTCTCGAGGAAAGACGTGATAGGGGTTTCGGGGGCATCCCAAGATAGAGAACCTCGATGACTGGAGATAGATACACGCTCCAGATTCCGAAGCAAATCAAGAACGGCGGGAAATCTAATTTTCTCCCTGTGGACTAGGTAACCTGGTGTTCCCTCCAAGCCGTCTTGTATACTAAGGAACCTAACCAGAGGAGCAACAGGGGTAAAAGTTTCTTCCTGAAGCAAATTGTAAAACGACTCGCAGGTAAACTTGCTCCCGGTAAAGTAGTTTGGCAATGGCGCGTCAACGCCGGCTTGGAAGATTATGACGTGGAAGTAAAGGTGTTTGCGACTGGAAGGCAGGAACGAACGAGTGGTTAGAGAACACGCTCGTAAGGCTAGGACATCATCATGAATACGATCGATAATCTCGTCGAGAAGTTCTTGCGGCAGAGATGGTTGCATGATTGTGGTTGATTGTGGTAAGTAAGAGACGGAAGGGATAGATTGGTGCCGCTATAATGCCGCGGGAAGTGGGCCGAAGGCAAATTGAGGGGTCACGAGCTCGGAAGTGCGTGAGTACCCAGGACCTACATACTTGCTAATTAACCGGAAACTTTAGAAGACAAGCTTTCGACGCCCAGCATGCCTTATTACCCAAGAGACTGGGTTCCCGTCGTTTTTTCTAGAATAGAAAATCACACCACGAAGAAGGTCGAGACAACCGCCGGGTCCAGGTGCATGTGTTCCAATTGAATTACCTTCCCCCAAAGAGTTGGATATGTACCCCGGTGTCGAACACTTGGCTTTCCATAGCATGACGTTTTCTAGAGACCGACATCGCCTATTTCGCTAACGCGTTCGTCCCTCCGAGCCGGAGAGAAGCCCACTCACGTTGATCAAAGAGCGGACAAAAAAACAGTACCCCATCCGAAGCACCGGCGGGAGCTATTGACATCGGATCTCTCGGCACGGTAAGATTACTGTGTAGCGTCACAGGGTTCAAGATTCTAAGAAGCAATCAGGTCCGGAATATTATGATGCGAAACAGGGTCCGATTTATGTGTTATGGGTATGGAAGCTTTATAGTAAGTAAGGTCGCACGTGAAGAAGGGAGGAGAGAAAAAAAAAACGAAGGCGGAGAGAGAGGAGAATCAACACGTGTAGATTGTTCGTGAATCGCCACTGAATTTGAACCCCAATGTGGGGTTGGGTGGCCAAGCGTCCAGTGAGATGATAACAGGCCACGCATCTCCGAAGCACTGCTCTATAACATGCAAGTTACGCCTTCCACACACATGTTGATGGATACCAGTGGAGATCAACTTCACGCGGCCTAGAAAGAAATGGGCTTCCCAGTTCCCACTTGAACGATGCTAACCCAATGGGCGGTTTCGAGTCCGACAGATTCGGACACTAGGGATACTGAGATCACGGATGTAGGTGTTGAATCGACGAGCAGATGGGGTCGAGATTTGAGTGTGACGGAAGCGACCTCGCGGAAGAAGCAGGTGCCTTTGGCTTGGGGATGTAATAGGAGCAAATATAATCGGATGCCGGTCCGCTTTCCCGGTGCCATTGACTTCTGAACGTCGACCTTGTTCAAAGAAGAAGATCGATCTCTTCTCTCGTTATGTTCCCCGTTGTACGGCTAATCTTTACCAGAGGGCAATGCATCTGATATTTCGCATCTTAGCATCTCTGATAATTCATTCGTTCTAGACCACGCAATATACTAGCAGTGGAAGCTCGTAGCCACGGAGCTACACTGAAGAACTCGTTCACACAGATGTGCAAGGAACCAGCTCGGTATTCGTGAGACGACGGTACAGATGGTGGTGGTAAACTAAAGAGACGTGACATGGCAATCCCTCGTATCTATGTCACATCGGGAATAGCCGATGTAACCGGCATCCGGGTTACAAGCAGCTTCTTTCGACAACAAAACACAGCCTATTGATATCAGTACGCGCTTATCCTTTTGCGAAGGAGCATCAGCGAGGCAATCAACATACCAACTTCAAGTGACTAGTCTATTCGCGAGAGGCCTAGGCGTAGTCCACAAACTCTCTTCTTCGCATGTTTGTCTTCGTCTGGGCATCACGCAAGCGGATCATTGGATAGCGAGAGAGAGAGAATCCAATCACACTGCGGGGAAGAACTGATCTTGCTGCCACATTAATATTAAAACACGCTAAAAGGCTGCAGCCCGCAAGATAGGTTTCGCCGTTAGACTAGACCATAAGTCTTACCATTACGACAGACTTATCTCATGTTCTCTCGGCTTTATCTATCTGCGTGAGAACTCACAATCACTCTCGAGTATCTGACTCGCAGTGCATAATGCCAGTGGATCAAAACACATGCAAGTCCTCTCTGCCACTAACCAGTCATTTCGAAGAATGTACAACTTATGAAGAATCATTCATTAATCATTAATCAACCGGTATATCACAGTCCATCCATCGAGCTTCTTTCATTTTTCATTTTAACGTTCAGCAGCCCATGCGATAGAAGTTTGCATGTGGTAGTTGAGAAACACCTCCACACCTCAACGTGAGAAAGTATCACACTGTTGGTCCTCTCTTCACTCTTCAGGAACATGCAAATCCATCCGCAGTAAACGTTGCGCAACGAACATATGGTACACTCGTTACTAAACCTACCACGCATCAAATCAACATCTTTTTTTTTCTCCAGAGCAACTTAGTGGTGTGCAACACGCGTTATGTCGTGGGAGAGGCATTTCTATATTGTCCGAGCGGCTCGTGGGAAAAGGCGAGGCGGGGGATAAGTGCGCCCGAGTGCGAGTCGACTCTACCATCAATCACATTAGAATCCAGACTGCGCATGCGAGCCACCGTTATTTCTCCCCCTCTCTGGGTGGTATAAATCTGGTGTTTGCCGAGCGTGCGAAGGGTGTGGCAAGAGGCGGGGGGGGATAAGTCCGCCCGAATGCGACTCACCCATCAATCACAATTACAGGACCTAGACTGCGCAAGCGTTATTTCTACGTTTGATGCGTCCGAGGATTATGTTGTTGCAACTAACGTCGGGATTCGTGGTGAACATAACGGGACTTTGGTGAGAAGCAAGAGCGGTATCCCCGATAATAATACATGGCTGGACCGGATACCCCAGACGCAGCAAGAGTGTTTTATCGACGTTGATGCGTTAGAAAGTCCGTATGGTCGGCGCCCTGATTAGCAGGCTGGGTTGCATATGACGAGGCGGCTAATACACAGGGGTTAAAGCTGTGATTTATACGTATATTATGCGGACCTACGGAAACGGCCAGAGATAACACCTGCTGCAAAGCTCATCGACATCAGAAAGCCGGTTGTTGTCAAGCGGTTCGGTGTGGAAAGGCGTTTGTGGGTGGATTGTTGTCGCGGATATAAGGTCGAAACAGCCAGGTTAAGTGCCAGAAAGACCATGGGTTCCTAGATGACGACACAAGGCAGTTAAAGCAATTTGACAGTATGTATATTCGAAGAGAAAAAGCTCCCAAGTCCACGGGCCCACCTGTAAGTAGATATCACCACGACCTAGAACCTCGCCGTCACATCATGGGTTTTACCCACAATTGATGAAAAGAAGCGGAAGGCCATTCGCGGGTAATCCGAAAGCCAATTAGAATAGGACATGAGGAGAGAGAGAAGGTTGAAATTGCAACAGATTAGTAGTGGAGAGTTATGTAGTATCTTAGGGGCAAGGGCGTGGCGTGGTGGATAATTTAAATGCGCTGACCGTTTTGGAACGACCAGGCACGGCTGGGCGGTTAGGCGGAGGGGAGGGAATGTCATACTATGACAGGTTTCAGGACGCTCGCGGAGGAATATGCAAATCGGTTATTCGAACCGTTACTAATATACCACATACCACACTGTACAATTACACAACTATATAGACAGGGACCCGTAAGTAGTAGATAGACGACGAGAGGATAGTAAGAAAGCTGAGCATGTCGATGGTGAGGGTGTTGATACATGTATAGACTGCAGCAACAACAAGACAGAGAGAGAGGGGAAAAGGTCATATAACTTACTCCACCGCTTTCTATGTTTGTTGGACCAAACCGCCTTTCAAGCCGCCTTTCCACGCCCCGTGACCTAGACTCACAGTCCTGCTGGTAATACGGCTGGGGCTGATGGATATAGTGCCTCTCTGCCACACCCAGGGAATCTCTCCGCCCGCCCTGTATGGGAGCCAACACCGGCGGTGGGCTCTCGTACCGGTACTCCGCCTGGTCATACACCGCAGCATAGGACGCAGGCGTCGGCGGGCCAGAACTATTGCTCTCTGGCGAGGGAGGGGAGATATGGGATATAGAATGCCGGGATGACGCCTCCTGAAGAAGCGACCTCGTAGTACTGTGTCGGGGGAGAAGGCGTCGTGTGGACATAAGGTATACCCCGAGCCAGGCTGCTCCTGATACGTAGACGTGCCATTCCGATATGAATAATTCGTAGCGGACGTCGGGGTGGGCGGCATGGAGAGATGGGAGTAGGGCGAATCGGGGAGAGGCGGGCTCGGAGGACCGGAGGGCGGCGGCGGTCGCGGGGAGTGTGGCTTGTGTGAGCGGCGGTGGGGAGTCAGGGCGGGGATTGGGAGTGGTGGGCGTACAGCCTCGCAGGTTCTAGAGCAGGAGGAGGGGACACGCCGCGTTTAGCACCGCCACCCGTGGGACTGTTCATGACGCGTGAGATGACGGAGCGCGCAGAGTTGCGCCGCGAGCCCGGAGAGAGATGGATACGATAACTTGAGCGGGGCCCGTCAGCGGCGGTGCACAAGCAGAGATGGGATTAGCTAATGCAACTCACTGCTGTTGGAGGTTGTCCTGCCTCGAACACCTCGTCTCACAGCCTGGGAACGGACACTTGTGGTTCCGCTCCCCAGTGTGGACACGCGAGTGCCGTGCGAGATGGCCGCTCGTCGTAAACGCGCGGTCGCACGTCCCGCATATGTGCTTCTTCTTAGCGCCACCAGTAGTAGTAGTAGTCGCAGTCGCAGTCGAAGACATTCCAGATAGTGTCAAAGTGGTCGTTGTCGTCTTTGTGGGTTCTGCTCGGGGCATAAGTCTGGCCCTGCTCAGAGGTGGTATTATAAGAAAAACCAGAAAGAGAGAGAGAGGTGGAAATCGAGATACAGCCTCAAAAAGGCGCGACCCGTTTATGTTTCCTCCTCCGTGTTCTCTAGTACGTAACTCTTCCAATTTGCATTTGACTCAACCAATTCAATAAAAAATCATTTTCCCAAAAAGTCCCGGTGAACCGAACTGGTTCGTTTGGCTTCTCGAAGTGCCTCGCGACCAAGTTACCCGTAGTTTCACGTGTTGGATGGAGGGTGCTTCATTTGTTTCCCTCGTTCATTGCCGACAAACAGACATCGAATCGCAGCAATCCACCATCCGTCCATCTCTTCACCCACGTTTTCCCTCCTCACTCTTCCTTCTTTCCTTCTTTCTCTCTCCAACGTAATAGCGTCATTCAATACTCCGTCGACAACACCACCACCCACCTTCCTTGTCTCGTCCTCATATACATTTTACGACAACCCCACACACATCTATCCAAACCGAAATGTTTATTTCCCTCCACGCACGCCCAATTCCTGGCTAAACCTTTTTCGGTGGCGGACGGATTTTCAATTTTGGTATTCTGTCCTTCCTGTCCTGTCATTTTTTCCCATCTGCCAAAAATCCTATCGTGATCAGATCTCGATTCTCAATTTCTCAGGTAGCCTTTTCCAACTTTTTTTTTTTCGCTCCCTTCTCGTCTTCTTTCTAAACTTCCTCGAATGTTCTCATGTAATGTGTGTGCAACTCGCGGGTGCTTTGGTCTTCGTAACGGAACCCTCCGAATTCATGGCTCCCCCCCCCTCCCATCTCAATTTCCAACGCCTCCCCCTCTTCTGTCACCGGGCCCAATGGAGCTTCCCGAAATTTCGGAATATTCCCTCTTCGCACTCTAATGCAGCAACTGGGAACCGACGAGTTGGTATATACTCGTTGCAGTCGTCTATCATTGTTCGAATGAAAAACCCACCTCCTGCCTTACCTTATGACCGACGACGACATCAGACCCTGATCAACAAAATCTAACTGGCACTGTCAATTAGTTGGTAAGTTGTATCTGTCTGCAACATATACGAACGAGTCCAGAAGGTTCGAGAGCAAAACCTTCAACCCGTAACGTTTTTTTTTTTTTCAAGCTTCGGGTGGCGCAGCAGAAGTACCTTTCTTTCGCGGCAGAAGGTCGTTGCAATCGTGGGTTCACCCTACAAATTCGACGGTTCCGTTGGAAAAGATGTGGCCACGGTATCGTTTGCCTAAACTTCGAACCTTGAGATTTACGCGACCTTTGAATCTTGGAGGTAATACCTTGGAAAAACATGCCCGCTTTCCCCGGTGGGGGCGGTCCATCAAATTACGGTATTCACAACGGTGAACGGTAGCTTGTTCTCCCTTTGCCTTCGCGCGCCCCATGGAGTCTACGTTCTCCTCAGCATTGGGCACGACGAACACGAACGCGAGCTTGAGGCGAACCCCGAGTCCAAAGATAAAATCCTTTCTTACGACTTGTCCAACCCGGGGCAGTGATGCGCCTCTGACTTCCGCGCTCCTTGTCAATTGCTTTCTTGCTCTCCCCCCTATGAACGATGCGATATTAATAGCGTCCTTTCACGTTTTAATTATGGCTTGTCAGAATACGTCGCTGGAGCATTGCGTGAGATTGGGACGTAAATACATGGAACGAAATTGAAACGAACTTTTTTGGGAGAGCAGCTGCTGCTCCGCGGCTGGTCAACCGCCACTGTTCACAGTTCCTCGGTTATCCAGAGTACGTATTTGAAAAGTCAAACTCCTTACCATCTGCATTGTGATGGCGCCCTCTTGGACCCGCCTCTCTGCCATTCGGAGAATCCTGAAATTCCAATGATGTCACAGCTCTGATGGGAGTTCGACCCTCCCAACGACTGATAACCGTGGGCTCGTTCAGGCACGCGCATCATCAAATGACTATCGCATCCCTTGCCTTGAAGGAGATAAATCCAAGGGAAAGCGGAGGCTTTTAATTTTGATTTGCATGGCTTGACTGAAGGTGAAACCTGTAATGGACCAACATTCAAGTTTCGCATGGGAGGCTAGTAAGAAAGAAAGGAAAACAATATTGACCATTGTTCGCAACGCGATGTCGACATGAGAAGAATCGCACGCTTGACGTTCCGGGGCCCATAGCACTGGCATGGAATGGACTTAAAGCTGCAATAGTAGTACATACGTCCAAGTCAATCACCGGTCCGAACATCCTGACAACGAACGTTTCACTTACCCATAATGGGCAGCTCAGACTGAATACATTGTGAGCGAACAGAACGGACGCTTTAGCCAGATCGGCGTGTACACTCCATAGCGGCAACCAAAGAAATTAAGAAGAAAATGAGCTTCGCTGGAGAGACGTGAGTGCGTCAAACAACACTCAGTAACGAAACAGTTCACCTCGAACATCTCCGAGAGAGGCGGAATTGAGGAGGTACGCAGCCTAACGACAGGCTGCAACGAACTCCCTGATTTCCCTGTCCCTGCCTTATGACCGACGAGAATGTATCGACATCAGTCCCTGAACCCTGATCACCCAGATAGGCGCATCGAGCAAGAATAACGCCCTGAAGCATTCCTGAGCCCCGTGTTGCTTATACGAGTTCAGGACACGGGACCGACATTCTGAACGTTTGACTAGGGAAAAAAGCACGTTGGAGATAAGATAAGGACATAAGTAAACCGTGCATACTTGGGTCTTGATGTTTCACGAACGAAAGAGGCCTAACTCAAAAACCAGTTCCAACTGCTGTGCTTTGATATCATAAGAATCAGATGGTGGGAAGAATCACGGGGTAAACGTACATAGATATTCATGATCCCTTATCCCGTAACCTCTGCTTCTTTTCATCTCTTGGCGGCGAATTCTCTGGTGCGTATTGATCACCATATATAGAGAGAATCCTACGCGGAGATTAGAACCAATATGAATGCCTTCGATAAATTGGATGTCACTTGCGTCCTTCAGTCAAGGTTCTGCCAATGCCAGGAGATGCACGGTCCAAATGTCCGTCGCTATAACACGATAGCCGGGGTAGGCTCAGACGTTTGCGGACGCTTTCATGAAAATGGTCAGTTTATGACCCGGAGTACTAGTAGCGTGTATATCACTGTCAGAGTGAGACTTTGTAAACAAGAGAGAGATGCTCACAAATAAATGATGGAGTGCATCGTCGGGGGTGATAGCATTTCCGTCATCTAGCCCTTGATGTGAATGACTGTCCCACACTATGAGGCACTAGATGATACACTACAATCCTTAGCACTCACACATATCCGCAGATAAGATCTCTCGCTTATGTCCTTGGAACACTTTCATTGGCCCCAGATGGCATCGCAGCCGTTCAACCGCGTAACAATTGATGTCGCTTCCAGAGAGCAGAATCTGTCTAAAATTGCCGGCGCTTGAAAGTTATATAATGGCGATATTTGTGTGCGCATATACGAGCATCGGTGGAGATAACGAAGAGTATGACATCGCAACCTCGGGCCTAAACTACGACGACATGAATCGGTTTGAGATATCCAGAGCCGGCGTCCACTTCGACGTCCGGCGGCCATGAGGAAGTTGTTGGTATTTCCAGAACTGAGTCCGACATCCCGATATCAAAAGAACTAAAAAGAGCGAGTTAGTGGAGACGCCGGCTCAGTACGAACAAACAATTCACGGAGCTTTTTCCCAGATGGATAACCCCAGATTCCCCGCCGGTTAGAGTCGCAACACTCCGGTAAAATCACGCTATGACAGGATCATTACAGTGCCCGCTGATGCAGATGCTCCACTGCATGGACGAAAATGAAGTCGCCGTAGCGTGGAAAGAGGACGTTACCAAGCCATCGGAGAGTATCATAGTTATGCAGCGGGATTCATTGACAGAGCGAGATGAGGGAGAACATCAGTGGAGGAGGGAAGGAATCAGAAGAGCCGAGACCAGCTACGTCACGCGTTGTTTGTCTGAGCTTGGGTGCCAAATACAGGCACCGACGCGCCACTTACCTTCTCCCGTCCACAATAAACAGGGCGTAAACATCTGTCTTCGGCATTACTGTTCATATCACTGCAGGAAATGGTACAACTTAGCGAGAAGGAATACCACACCTCATTCACAGCACTCTCGATCCTGGTACAAAATCCATCCGGTAAAAATGAAACCATTCGAAGTCTCTTCTCCTTATTTAAAGCGCCGTAGCCCTTGTGGTGATATACATCAATGTACTGCAGTGCGACGTCTTTTTCTCAATTGGGTGACAGTTATGATCATCATTCTCAAGGTTGCTTTGTAAGGTAGCAGGACAAGGGCTCTCTCTCGGTGGCGAATAGTCGGCATGGAGATGTCAGAAAGGCAAGCGTGGCTGTTTCCTTCCCTTTGTCCTCATACTCATATAAAAGCCTTTGCAATACTGTCAAAATCTACATCTGCTCTTTCCCACCTCTTCCCATTTCTGCCTTTGTCTCTGGTAAGGACGTGTTTCTGTCCGCCATTTCGTATCTCAAGAAGTTTGACTCTGGCGCTCTAATTGAGAAGATCGAAGAACCATGACCGGGAAATCATCGCAGTACGTTCTTCTCGAATAACTCGATGGGTTTGTACTCACGTCGGTAGTAGGACATCCCATGAGCCTATTGTTCTTTGCGATCATTGTCAACATGCATTCTGTCCATCCGATACTCGCCCGCCCGCTTCTTTCGCAGAACAGTGTCGCGGTTTCTATACCCCTTCGAGCAGGCAACGCGAAGAGATCCTCCGCAAAAAATCACGTCTTGAAGGCGTTGCCGATGATTACGACCGCGAATTAACACGACTGCGCGACATCGTCACCCAGCTAGAATCGGGAAGAGCCCAAGTACAGACCCATATCGACGACTACGCTAGCCTAGCTTCAGCGCCTATCCGTCGTCTGCGCAATCCCCTTTCCCAGCCAAATAATTATCAACCTTTCTTTTCTTCACTTGCGCAACATGACCCAGACAAGATTCTCAAGCGCATATTCACTTTCGCCTGCTACCGCGGCGAAGACGACGCCTTCGACTCTCACCTTCACTGGCTAACCCCGTTGGTAATATCACACGTCTGCTCTCACTGGCGCAAGGTATCCTTGGATATGCCTGAGATGTGGTCATACCTAGACGTCACCTGGGACCTAAACCCGAAGTCCAATCTAGAACTCTTACGTATGTATATCGCCCGCACTAAAATGGACACGCCATTATCGGTCAGGATTAATTCGGACATGGAGCTCTTCAACCTCCACTACCGCGCCTTTAGTCTAGTCCTGGAGCATGCCAAACGATGGAGGGAGGCAATCATCATCGTTGATCATCAGCTGCTTTGGCAGTTCCTCCCTGACTCCTTTGACATCTTGGAGAAGCTAGTGCTTCGTATTCTGAACATTTAAAGAGACCAAATTGTCGAGTATTTTAAATTTGTCCCGAAACTTCGCCATGTCAAAATAGACGCGGCGTTTAGCGATTTATTATCTCCTTTCTATGCGGAAAGCCCGGGCCTAATGGGTGGGACAGATGTCCCGGACGTTGTTTGTTTTGAGTCATGCCAACTCGATGCACCAGGTCTTCATCTCTCGCTCTTCCCCCCGTTCCGCAGCGGCTCTCTCCAGTGGACCAACCTACAAGCGCTGACCCTCCATTCCCTCTCTTCCGACTTCGAGATGCTCTTAGACACCATAACCATGCCCAACTTGGATCGGTTCAGCCTAGTCTTAGACAAAGACTACAAGTTCGACATCTCCCTGTTTCTTTCCCTTCTCTCCCTTGTTGAGCGCTCCGAATGCAAGCTTAGCGCGTTCACTCTGGACATGACATATTGTCGTGGGGAACACGTCCAGTCACACATAGAGAAACTTGAATATGAAAATGAGCTACGGGAGTTTTTGGAAGCGATTCCTTCGATTACGGAGCTTCGGGTCATCGCGCCACTAGGCTCGGGGTGTAGACATTGTGGTCATATATTACCGTTAGTGATCGAGTGGCTCCTCGTCTTGAGTAACGATGATCCGAGTATGATACTCCCCCATCTGAGGAACCTGGAGTTTGTCTGGGCAGCTTTGACGACTCGGAATGTGATGCCGCTCAGGTCTATGGTGGAGAGTCGGGTGGAGGAACGTGTTATGTTTGGAGATGGAGAAGACGGGGAAGCGAGTGGAGACGTAAGTGTGGGCGGGTTTGGAGATGACATTAGCATGGGTGATGCTTCTTCCGAGACGAGTGTTCTTTCGAGTGAGGGCGACAGCGGTGATCCTGTTGTTGTCAGCGCTCTTCGGTCTCTCGTTATGGAATCACGAGGAGAAATAGATGTGGACAATTTCCTGTGGGAGTGGATGAAGGATGTAAGAACTCGAGGGATGGTCGTGTATCTACGGTAGTCTTTACTTTCTTGTTCTCTTGTCGCATGTTGATTTACTTTTTCATTGGTACACTATGACTTAAAGATAATAATTGCATCATACGAACTGTATAGTATACGTCCTTCGTAACTGATGCGTTCTTACAAAATAACCGTACTTTCTGTCCATCATTGAATAGCCACTAGGGATCGTCTTTGCCTGGTTCCTCGGCGCGATTCACCACTCGTTATGTCGCTCTCACCATCGGTCAGAGACCTGGTTTACAGGTTCAGTCAAGTTATACATTTTCCATCGTCTTGAGCTGCAATGCCAAAACCCCTATGAAGCCGAAGAGCCGAACATGACTTACGTCACGCGTTATTTGCTTGAGCTTGGTCAGTCAACAAATACCCAGCCCATATGGCATCTTTCCTCTCTCTTCCATCTCACCGCATGATAGACAGCGTCTTGACTCTTGCCTCAAGCATCGGTGGTTATATATGTATTCTGTGAAATTCGCCGTGCTTCCAATCCAACGACTATGCGGTATGTTCCGTTATGGTGATCTATTTTCATCGCTAAAGATTCCGTTTAGGTAGCAGGACAAAGGCTCTCTTTTAATCAGGAGATTAGACGGCGAATATTCTTTCATGCGCTTTAGTATGGGGATAGGGAATCATGGAAATGAGTCAGGTGCGGAACCTTTTCTTTCCCTTTGTCTCCATTCTCATATATATCGCCTGACAGGACTGTCGACTGCCTTTGCTGCATCTGCATTTTCTCACTTCTCCCCATTTCTGTCCCCGTCTCAGGTATCGAACTACTTCTTCGTACCATCTCATATCTCAAGCAGTTTCAGTTTAGCGTTTCCACTGAGAGCATTGTTCGCTTCTTTGTACCATGACCGGAAAAAGAAAGTCAAGATCGTGGTATGTTCTTGAATAACTCAGATAGCTATTTTACTCACATTTATAGTAGGAACGTCCTTCTACCTATCGTTCTTTGTGATCAATGCAAACACACATTCTCCCTAGCCGACGCTGGCCCACCGGTTTCTTTCGCAGAACAATGTCGCACTTTCTATTCCCCGTCAAACAGGCAGCGCAAAACTATCTTCCGTGAGAAATCGCGTCTTGAAGGCATTGCCGCCGATTACGACTGCGAACTAACGCGATTGCGCGACATCGTCGCTCAACTCGAATCAAGAAGAGCAGATGTGCAAACCCACATCAACATCTGCGTCAGCCTATCTTCTGCGCCAGTTCGTCGCCTGCGCAATCCCCTTTCCCAGCCAGATGATTCACTTACCCTTTCCTTATCTTCACAACATGACCCAGACAAAATTCTCAAGCGCATACTCATCTTTGCCTGCTACCGTGACGACGACAACGACGCTAACTCTCATCTTCAATGGCTAACCCCGTTAGTGATATCACATGTATGCTCTCACTGGCGCAAGCTATCGTTGGACATGCCCGAGATGTGGTCATATCTCGACGTCACCCAGGATCTTGATCCGGATTCTAATCTGGAGCTCTTGCACCTGTACATCGCTCGTGCTAGAGCGAACACCCCATTATCTGTCAGGATCGAGTTGGACATCCACCACGCCTACGCACGTCGGCACGTCCTCAATCTGGTCCTGGGTCATGCCGGGCGATGGAAGGAGGCAATCATCGTCGTTGATCACGGACAGCTCTGGCGCTTCCTCTCTTACCCCTTTGACATCCTAGAGAGCCTGGTGCTTCGCGTCGGGGACATCCCAAGCGATCATCCCGTCGAGCAATTCAAATTTGTCCCTCGACTTCGCTATGTCAACGTGGACGCAGCGCTGGGCGTTTTGTCACTTCCGTACGGCGTGCGATGCATGGACCTAAGGGGACAGGCAGACCACTCCGAGGTGGTTCGTCTAGGGGCATACCAGCTTGATACACCAGTCCTCCATCTCTCGCTCTTCCCCGTATTCACCGATGCCCCCGTCCGGTTGATCCATATCCAAGCATTGACTCTTCATGCCCTCCCCTCGGACTTCGACACGTTCGCACAGACAGTGACTATCCCTTTCCTGGATCGTCTCAGCATTCTCTTCGGCAAAGACTATACATTCGACGTCTCATTCCATTCCCTTCTTTCCCTCATCAAGCGCTCCAAATGCCAGCTTAGCGCGTTCAGCCTTGACATGACGCAGTGTCCAGGGGATCACTGTTCCTCGCACATACAGAAGCTCCAGAGCGGAGACATCGTGTTGTGGGACTTTTTGGATGGGGTTTCTTCAATTAGGGAGCTCTGCGTCATCGAACCTCGCGATTCGGAGTGTGTACATTGTAATATGGTTACGATGCTGCTGCGGTGGCTCGTGGTCGATGATGCACGTAGTACTCCTCTGATTCTCCCCCATCTGAGGATGTTGGAGCTCGTTTGGACGGCTTTGCCGGATGTGGATTCGCTCAAGACTATGGTGGAGAGTAGGGCGGAGGAACGTGTCGTAGTAAGAAGGATCGCGACTCCGGTCGATGTCGAGGCTGAGGAAGGGAGTAGAAGTATGAACGAGGGTGACGAGACCAGTATGAGCGACACTTCTTTCGAGACTTGTCGCTCGAGTATCCCTTCGAGTGAATGCGACAGCGACGATGATGTCGTTGTCAGCGCTCTGGAGTCTCTGGTCATCGGGACGCGAGCAGAGATAGAGGAGAACGATAACATGACGGAATGGATGGACGAGCTGAGAGCTCGCGGTATGACGGTGCATTTATGGTAGTCTTTTTTCTCCTTGTTCTCTCAACATGTTTACCCGATTTCTTACTGGTACATTATATCACATTATACCTCTAGGATACATACACTTTTCGACGTTTAATTAATTATATGTAGCCTTCCGATAACAGACCCTTGTGTCGCGTGCGTCATTGGATGACTAGGACCGGTTTCGAACGGCTTTGATAATCGTTCTCTACTTATGACGAGGAAGAAGGATCATAGTGACGTTTGGGGGGCTTTGTCTCGGGTCTGCATACGCCTGGAAACGACATATGGGTTCACGGGATGGGTCAACAGTGAGCCTCGCTTAAGCTTTAGTGCGTCAACCACGGCGCCCGCTAGCCTTGCAAACTGGTTCAGTAGTATCAATCACTGTCCAGAACGCGTCGAATGCATCATACATGACTTTGTCGGCGCGTGCGTGACTCGGTACTTCTGAAACCGACGGAGATTGCGGAAACCTCGCTAATAGCCAGTGGCCATATATTACAAGGGTGGCTTCTATGGATGGGTTCTCTCTCGGAGCTCAAGTTCCAGTGTCGATGACTTTGATCTGCTACTAGGCCGAGAAGCCTCGGGAAATGGGATACGACGGTCCTGATCTCTTGGTAGTTCGTATTCGCGTGCTAATAATGAGATTCGCAGGAAACTGGTAAGCGGGCCCGATCTCAAGTCGTCGCACTTTTTCCGAAGCAGGTGATATTGTCGGCTCCGAACAAGTCCTTAGGTATGTACTACATTTCTATTAGTGTTGTTAGAACAAGTAACTTATATGTACTCTAGATATTACTAAGTTATCTCTTTGCTATCTCCTTAAGCCGTAAATGCGACACCATAAAATCAGTATCGGCCATTAATACTCCCCCGCCTTCCTCTCTCCCAATCCAAGCGGATGCTTCCGCCCTAAACGCCCTGGTCTGCTTGACCCTGAACAGCGAGACAGGTATGGGTATCATAAATTTGAGGTACCACCCATCCTGCATCAGCTCCTCCGCGTCATCCCAGTCCTCTTCCTCCTCCCCGTCCGAAAATTCGAATTCGTAATTCTTCCGCACAGGTAAACACCTAACGTTGCAACGCCGTTTTCTCATAAACCAGTTCACCCTGGTAGTCTTCCTCCACACGGGGAACGCGCAGATGCCTTGAGAGCCATTGGATTTTCCCCATGCAATCGGCCCTCGATAGTCGACGTAGAAGTCTGATTGCATGTAGTTGGGTTCAAGATCGGGATTCGGATTCGGAGGAGTCTTTGAAAGCGCAAGAGGATCGTAGTCGAACGACTGGCATCGAAAGTCGATGTACCGAATGTCTGGGGTGTTCTCCATGGGGACACCATCCCACCGTTCTGGATCTTTGAGAATGAAGTGCATTCGTGCTGGAATCGCGATCACTTGGCTGGACAGGAAGCGCAGATCAGTACAGGAAGAAGAATACAAGGAAGAAAACATTCAACGAACCTGTCATCCATATCCCAAATATCAAAGAACTGTCCGCTCTTCTCGTAGAATGTCAGAGAGGCGTTCATATCCCAGACCGTCGGAGCGGTCTTGGAACGGCGGGAACCGCTATCTTCTGCATTGGGTTCATCGTCGTCCGCGCAAACGTCGCGTACACGAAGCTTCTGGGGGAGACTGAACCGCTCTGGGACAAGGCGCTTACTCGTCAGGGAACAGAGATCGGCGCGACGAGAAAAGGGTAGCTTCTGGCCGAAAAAATGGGTCGGTAGTGGTAGTTTAGGGGCCAAGAAGGTTCTGGGTGGAAGAATGGGGACCGGAAGACCGTCTTCGTCAGGGATAGTAGGAATGTCGTCGTCGGGACAAGGATAGACGACGATGTCATCTCCATTTTCGAGAGCGTCGTCTTCGGTATTAAACCCTTTACCCGGTAGTTTTTGAGCACGAATAGTGTCTGTGGACGAGTTTCTCTTCTTTGGGAACATGTACAGAGATTCTTCATCTTTATGGCCGTTTAATGTTACGCGGCTTCGTGAATGTTGTCTATGCGGGCGTCCTCGATTACGAGTGGCAGTGGCACGGAGAGTTTCCGTCGAGTCAGTTCTTCGAAGTGGGGGTAGAAAAGGCTCTGGAGTACATGGACGGTCATAGATCTCTGGCTTGAGCGGCTGTGCGGGTGTAGCATGGAGTAAGTTGCTCGAGGCGTAGGTTCTAATGATGCGGGCCATGTAGGGAGACAGGAAATCGAGAGTACTAGTAGACGAAAGTCAACGTTTAAAGTCAACTATTAAAGGTGGCTTCTGGTTAACTATAAGCAGATCAATAATCGGGCACAAAGTATACATGCCACTCACGGAACAAAGGCCAGCCTCAAGGCCTTTGTTTGTGTATTTGCTGTTGTAATATACTTCCCGTGATCACGGACATGAGGCGTGGATATATGTACTTTGGAGAGAAATTCCAGTAGGTGGTGTCGCGGTGAGTATCATCCTCCAAGGCAGCGGAGGCTGCAACTTGCGATGTGCCCCCTGTCGGAGCCGTGCGGCGCGAGCCTTTACCCTTGAAAATGCTGATAACTGTTTCTGGGACCTCGTTGCCCCACAAAAAGATACTTCTGTTATGATACTGATCCAAGTCAATATCTGATGGTGACCAGGCTATTCAAAGATCGCCATGGCAGTCAAGTTTTCGATCGTTTACTTGATCGTGGTCGCTGCGAAATTTCGTCGGCCCGGCATCTTCCGATCATCCATGCCGCGCTGCCGCACCCACTTCGTATTACGTGAGTGACCCTGATCCTCCCTTTAACCACCAGCACCGGGACAAGGAAGTCAGGACCCGGATAATCTTCTTCAGTACTGCCTACATTCATTGTCTCTCGAATGCTCTCCTGACATATTGATTCATGTTTTCCAAGGACTGGCCTATAGTGCGCACATAGTCGCCGTCTCTTTCAAGTCAAAAGCAAGTTTCCGGGAAGCCTGCAGTTCCATGGTTCCCGAAAGGATCTCTCCAACCTACAACGCGTCGGTAGTACGTGAGCTCGCGTGCGGTACGATCATCCCTTCGCGATTACACGAATTGACAACGTAATACGGGAGCCTTGTTCCGGGCGCAGTAATAATGGAACCGGGCATATGTAGTTGTCCTCGTGCTGGACTTCTTTCTCACACTGATATATTTTCACTCAGCGCCTCCAGGACCCGAGATACAGCGTCATGCCAGCGGGCCATTCATCTACGCAACAGCGATTGTCCTTTTCGCAAAGGATAACACTTCTCTCCGTAATCTGTCGTCTTGGTGAGTGATCCTTGTTGGGGAAATGAAAATCAGCCGATATTTCTCGAATTCAGTGGTCTATCTTCCATGGCGTCTCTTCGCTTCGTTCTTCACATACGAGCGCAACAAGAGCTGGCGGCAAATCTGGTCTTTGGCGGTATTCAACGTTTTTCTGATACATGGCAAAGGATTACCTATGCCGGATTCTCTCAGTAACTATGAAGCCTGGACCACGACGACTGGTCTGAAACCATCCGTTGAAGAGCTTTGCAATGGCGCCAAGCTTCTCTGGGTTGGTCCAAAACGTCTAGATAAGGTACTCTTTTACTGCCATGGTAAGTTATTTCTCGTGTTCTCTCTGGCTAAGGCGGCTTGTACATCCGAGCCTAAGCGTGGACCAGCATTCTCACGTCGGTTGCTCTCGTGACCACGAATCTCCTCTGCCTTCTAAATTAAACAACGTCGCTGTAAATAGCAAGTCGTTGACGCGATTGGGATTACTAATGTATCTTCACAGGAGGAGGATACAAGCTTAGCCTTGGCGAAAAACAGCTCTCTTGGTTGCGTTACATGCAGCTAGAACTCGAAAAACGAGGTGTCAATATCGGCATTGCCATCGTTTCATACAGTACGTACAACCCTCATGAACTTCTTCTAAACAGTTACTAATTACATCCCATTGCAGATCTCCTCCCCAACGCCGTTTTCCCCAGCCAATTACGCGAGGCAACAGACGGGCTTCAGCACCTCATAGCAGCCGGCGTCTTACCGGAGAATATCATCATTGGCGGTGACTCTGCAGGAGGGAACCTCGCACTTCAGCTCCTCTCCCACATACTCTATCCCTTACCCTCGATCGAAGCCCCCCCAGTCCGCTCGGATGCGCACTTTCGCGGACTACTCCTCGTTTCTCCTTTTGTCGGAGCGATGGAGGACGCGCAGATGCCTCTACCCCTTCTGGCGCCCCGACACGAACGCGACTTTATCCCAGCCGAGTACCACAGCGGCGTCTGTCAGGATCTTCTCAGGGACGTCCCTAAGGATGACATCGCGTACGTGGATGTATTAGAGGCGCCAGAGGAGTGGTTCAAGCCTCTGAGTAAAACTGTCAGCCGCGTCCTCGTTACAGCGGGGGAATGGGATTTCCTTCGGGAGAAGGGCGAGCGGTTTTATGAGAGGTATTTGAAGCCATTTCATAGCGATGCCAGGTTTGTGCTGGAGAAGGGTGGGATTCATGTTACGCCGATATTTGACTTTATCGCGAAGGAGAAACGGTTGAGCGAATTGACGCCGTTAATGATCGAGTGGCTTGCTGATACCATGAAGGAGTCTTGATGGAGTTGTAAAGCTCATATTGTGACAGATATAAGCAGTAGATACTATTTATGCACAGAAATATGGTATTCGATTCTATCATGTTCTCGTAAAACGACTTGTACCCGTGATAGAGGAGTACTGACTTTACCTTAGTTCGATACCGATCGAGAGTATGGCGTAGGTATATCATGGGCTGAAATCCCAATACACGATAACCACGAACGTAGATGCGACTCGAAAAAAGCTCCGTAATTAATAATCTCGAATATCCTTTGGAGTTTCTTGTTATCAGTTTTGGCGATCTAAATCCCAAAGTTCTTCCAATAGTGTGATCCCCGGAAAATCCTTGGAAAGAACGAGCTGTGCGAGCCACCACTCGTTATGCGGAAGAATAATGAGCTCATTCGCAAGACAGGCGCACGACAATAGGCTTACAGAGCAAAATTGGACTCAAGTACTTATTTCTCGTCATTCGCCTTACCGACACCCTATGTAACATGACTACTCAATAATATTATCTCCAATGCGACAATAATACCTGGGATAAATTTGACTTCAGTGTGGATTTGAATGTCATCAGTGTACGGTTTCCCATTTCTCCGTGCTTACATAGATTCGAGGAAGGGTCCGCCGCATCCACTCAGGGCATGGAACAGTAGTGACCTCAAGTCCTGGCAGCCTCCGGGACCAAACGCGAAGGGTCACAGGCATCGCGATCACGTGGATTCTGTCACGCTGGCAGCACAGAGAGGATAGCATGATATTGGCATGATATGAAACGGTATTATATATGACGCCATATTTCAGGGGACCTCACATTAACTGTAGTCTCAAGGTTTCGGAGAACCATCTTGGACTGCTTGCTTAAACAGTAAACTTCGCTATAACGAGACCTTCGTAGGTGTAAGAGGTGTGCAGGATGCCAATGATAAAAATGAAGGATCAGAATTACTAGTATAAAGACAGCGTTGTCGCAAACTATGGGAAAGAACCAGCCCTAACCAGTGACAGAGAGCCAGCAAGTCAATTCCTGGTTTATGAGCTCATTTGAGTACTGCTTCTGTGTCGTCTTCAGAATTGCGATGGCCAACGGAGAAGGAAGGAAACCAATAGAATACGGAGCAAACGTCGCCGCAGAATAATTTCGGATCTCATGAGGGCCTGGAAAACGGGAAATGAATTGGGATGAACTAAGTCGGAAAACACTCAATATGGATGCAAACGCATTGGCAGCCTCGCGGCACATGTATTCCACGTTGTAAGTAAGGCACCGAACACCGCCAAGGAATGTGAAAGGCCTAAAAACGTGTTAGATCGTCTAATAGCTAAGTACTAGGATCTCTGAAGAGGCCGTTTATAGTCAACGGATGGGAGTCGTAAGCGATTCTTGAGCCAGTTCTTGTATTCCATAGTGGTCCAGATGTTGCGGATTTAGAAGTGCGAAGTCGTCAAATGAACTGGAAATTATTCCAGCAGGTTTGTGCGGTTTAATGACGAAGGAAGCCAATCGGGTGCAATTAGCGTCGAGAAGACGGCTGTCCCGAATCGGAATGTCAGTAAGCGTAGAGTAGAAACCAAGACTAAGGAACTGCTTTCTGGTGTACATATAACTCGACTCTTCTGCTTGAAAGAAATCAGTCAATGTGGCGGGGAGGGACGGGAGGAAGCTAAGAATATCAAGGCACTGATGATAGCTTCAAGGGGTCCATGCTTCGAACTCAAGGGTTCAAACTTCATCGACATCTGTGAAGATATAATATGTTTTATTAATAAAGTGTGACGCAGCATGGATAGCTCAAGACCCACAAGACTGACTGGCGTTTTCGGGTTTGAAATCAAAAGGTCCGAGTGTCTGCATCAGGCAAGGACATATCGAAGGCCTGAGTCGAGCTTGGTTAGCCCAATTGAACGGCTGCCGTGATTCGCAGTCGTGCTCACAAGCGCCTCGGTTCGTTCCTGCAGGGTAAGAACGCTAAGATATCGTGTCTGCGTACAAACCGGAAGATCTGGTGACTGAGATTCGATGTTAAAAAGGCGTAACATTCGCGTAGGATATCAGGCGACATATGAGATTTCTTCGCGGAAACATATGGGCATGACACGTTCTTAGTCGAAGGTAAGTTGTCATAGTCATCGACCGAGACTAAATCGAGGCCCGTGAACCTAGCAACGCGAGGCACCATGCCATCTACGTGATGTGAGTCCGGATGAGACGCCGCGTCCGATAAGCGGCGTAGAAAGCTACACTGAGTCCGATATACCATCAGTTGCGCTTGTAACCAGTGGAAGAAATATACCTAGCGTTCTGTAGTATGTCAAACTGACCGGGCTATGACAGTGGACTAACTCGCGCCCGTCACAGTAAAAGGAGAATGAGCGGAACCAAACTTATGAACAAAGAAATTGTTTCGTACCCTTTAACGATAAAACTGGGGGATCTCCCTATGTTTTCGATAGGACCAAAATAGTTGCCTGCCAGGAATGAGCTCGTCATGGCTAGCAGCTACTCAGATAGGCGTGCCACGTTAAATTAATTCCTTCATCTCCGAGTCAGGGTGACGATGTCCTATACCTACTTATGTCGAAACTCGACCATAAGAGGTACGGGCGAAATGACTGGTGCAGGAAGAATCGGCGGCCCTGGGGAAAAGAATCGGCAATGGAAATCGCATTTCCACCGTATTGCTGAGATATCAGATTATCGCTTTATGTTTAGTGGATAATGACGGCGATTCGTTCGGTGGATCAAAATCTGGGCATGTGGCGAAGCATAGAAAATGTGGGGATACGGAGGAAGATCTTCAGAGTTCGGCTACTAGTAGGACGTGTATCGTCATTGCTACGGTCTCCCAGAGTCATGACATAAGGATGAGTACAGCTCAGATGATATGCAAAAGGAAAGGTGGTCCCAGCGCCATAGATATCTGGTGTCAGTCCGCGGGAGATCCGTCGGAACGGCAAAAAGCAGAAAATAAACCTCCACCATTGTAGTAGTCGCCATTTTCAAGGCTGTGTATGGCGATGAGTGTGATGAGATGCGGCGCCCATCACTTCGGCTGCTGCTCGACTACATTGTCAACCAGCGCGATAAGCAACGGGACCGGAAAGCGTCCGTCCCTAAAGCAGCGCCAGCCGCGATGACAAAAAGCTCTTGCCTTATCCAGGCGGCGCGCTGCAGCTTCCCCTTCGAAGAGGTCACAGCACGGTCTTTGATGCAATACCTGACAACGAGCATAAAGCTACCCGACTATCTGAAATCTTTTTTTCCTACTCAGAGAAAGGGGCCGTAAGATACAGCTGCAAATTGTCGGCGAGGAGCAGTCACCGTGATAGGGTACAATCACAACCGAACGCGGCTAACGCTGTGTGGAACTGCTGACAGTGTACGGGCGTGGCCGAGAAACAGCGTCTCGCGAATGGTGATACAGCGGTGCTGCACTAGCCGGAGAGCGCATTCCAAGAGTTACATGTGGCCTGTCCCATGATGAGTCCTATCCTTTTGAATACGGCCATTGAATCTCCCCGTTGCGTATTTCTTCAAGTTGTAGCAAAATTGCATGACCATTTTCAGAGTTTGCAGGTGGTCGAACATTCGTGATACACAGAAACACTCGTCGATCAAAATGAGAAAGCTGCTGGCATCGTCAACGTCTTAAGGAAGACTGGGGGTACGGTCAATGTCACGCTTCGAGCCGGCTAATGTGCGAGTAACTCACTTGCACTAATGAACTGTGCCAAAAATATAATGCTAAAATGCCGAGATACATCATACACGCCTTCCGGTGTGAATACGGCCGTGGTCATTAATCCAGCATGGTGAAGAAGCTCTCTTCTTCTAGACAGATGTCGTCGAAGATACGCGCAACCAAAAATAGTGGTGAGGACGCTCTGGAAACTTCACCGACCAACCCCAGTGTTGAATACCGGCATTCCAGGAGGCAGCACGGGGTGAATAAGAGCCTGCGATGGCACACACCGAATGGTAGGCTTCACGATGAAGGCGAGGTATCCTGGTTAACACAAAAATCTTAGCGATAGTTACAGAATGATACACAAAACACGAACCGATGAGGAGGAACAGATGCGGCAGGCCGCTGAGGTTAAAGCAAGGGCAGAGTAAATCTCGTTATCTCTGCAGGATGCCACGGCTTTGAGCAATTAGGGCAGCTGTGTAGGCTCGATATTCCGATTGGTCACGGATGAAGCCGACGAACATAATAATCGGCCTAGTGCTAGGGCTTTGTGTGGGTAATTGAGGCAGGAAGCGGTTGATTTGAATCGGTTTGAGAGAGAAGGTCCAGTATTACGGGCTTCTATTTGCACTGATTCACGAGTAGTTAGTTACTCTCTGAAATGAATGTTCCTTGTCGGCCATTATAATAGCGAGCCTCAACTGAGAAGATCATCAATATCCTTCTAGCAGGACAAAACACGGAAGTCTACTTGCCCACAGCCCCGCCGCGAGACATGACTAGTCGTTGATGGCTTTCTTGTGAAGAGATTGTGAGTAAGAAGTCTGGCGCCATTATTCATGACTCGCTGTGTGATCTCTAAGCATAGTTCCCTTGCTAGCATCAATGTTATCACGTCGGCAAATGAGTGGGATATGCACCTCATTGCGAGGCTCAGTGAGGGTGGTGATCGTCCGTCTGTATGTTGGATGGGGATAGCACCTCAGTCGAGAGGAAGGATCACAAAGCGGTGGAGTGGTTCGCACTCAAGGGTGACCAAGGAGTCACAAGAGAGATGAAAGGTTACTGGCCGTTTATGCTGAACGTTGTCATCCCTTCAAAGAGCGGAAAACGCGTCCCCGAACTATGCGCGTTTCGGCAGCGAAAAGGCATGGTCATTCCTAAGATTTTCGGAGGATAAGGTTTGGGCCGCGAAAAGATGCAATAACCCTTCACGTCTTCCTTCTACACGAAGGAAAGGGGACATCCCTTGCTGCTTGCGTTTCCTCGGGAGTAGAAAGCATGGCTATCATCAGAATCGTCTTATCAGGCCTCCAGCTTCGATCAATTCATCTGCACCACCCACAGCCTTCCATCAATGGCGACGGAGGCGAAGCTTAGCCCCAATTCCAAGTGTCATCATCAAGCACGCCCAACATAGAAATGCTGCTGCAGATGCAGAGATTTTATTGCCGCAAGGTGATGTATATGATATGACAGGCGCTTGTCGTAATAAGCGGCGCGTCGTCTGACCTGTGAGTTGAAAAAGCTTGGGAACAGGGACCGCAGGTCATCGACGTCCACTCTGCTCGCATCCTTTCGGA